CTGAGAACTCAGCCCTCTTTGCAGCCCAGAGCTGGCCTCCCTCCTCGAACGCACACCGAGAGGATCCCAAGCCGTGTCCCCAGGACCCTGCACGTGACAGCAGCCAGGCTTGGAGGGGACACCAGGGACAGTCCCATTCCACCGGCACGATGACAGCCATGAGGTGAGCCGCCCGCAGGTGAGGCTCTGAGGCCCAGGTGCTCAGCCCCCAGAGGGGAGGGGCCTTCCGGGACCTCAGACACAGCAAGATCCATGTAATGCTTTGGGCTTAAAACATTTGGTTTTAAAATGAATCCAAAGTAATTTGGTTGATAGGCTTTTGCCTTTATTCAGATGAAAACTTTTAAAACTGTGTATTTTCATCCAGAGGTGGGCTTAAAGAAAAAAATAAACACTGTCTGCCTTTGAACTCTGAACTCAGAGTCAAGTTGCCAAGGTTTTGAACAAACCTTCCCAGGGAGCACAATCTCCCTGCGGCACCACATGATGCCAGCAGAGGGCATCACGGCCACGCAGGCTGGAAGGACAGGAGGGCCAGCAGCCCCTGGGGTCCGGTTCAGGCTGGCCCGGCCTCCCTGCCCCACCTCAGGTGGCAGTGAGCCTGTACAGGACACCACGCCACTGCTGCACTGCAGGGGTGGCCCCTTCATGACCCAAGAGCTCTGGTGAGGCCATGAGCCCAGGTCAAGGCCCTACCTGAGGAGCACTGGTGAATCTGGGTCTTGTTGACGGACAGGCCCAAGCTCCCTCTTCCCAGCGTACCTGCCTGGGCTCCAGGGCAGGTCAGGAAGACCCTGGGGAGCTGGACCCAGTGCAGGCCTTTCACTCCATCTGGGTCTCTGCACCCCGGGCCCCCACTGTACAGACAAGGCATCTCCTGTTCCCTTGTGCAGCCAGGGCCCCTCAGATGTCCCCTCTCCCTGCCTGGGGGCACCCTGGAGCCAGACCCTTCAGGTGCTGGAGGGGATCCTGAAGCAAAGATGCAGCGGATGCCAGACAGGGAGGGCTCTGCGCTGTCCCAGCAACCCCGGGGCCACGCTGACCTTCAGCTGGGCCTCCCCGCCTCGAGCCAGCTGGCCTCCTCGCCTCTGCTCTGTCCAAAGGCCCTGGAAAGAGCGTGTCCTGGCCACCTCTTCCCCAGGGGAGCCACCCAGCAGGAAGGGCAGGAGGACCAGCCAGGTGATCAGGGCTGGCTGTCCCCAAACCTCAAAGCCCTGGGCACCAGTCCCCCATCTGCCTGGACAAATGCCCCAGACTTTGGGCAAGAAGGCACGCTCGGATTCTGTTCTTCTGAGAACACCTGGCCAAACACTCCATCAGCTGCATTGTGCTAGCGGTCCAGGCAGGGGTGTCCCACCCACGGCTTGCATGCAGCCCAGAATGGCTGCGGATGCGGCCCAATGCCAAGCCGTAAATTTACCTAAAACGTTATGGGAGCTTTTGTGATTGATTACATGCTGCAGTGTGTTTCACGTGTGGCCCGAGACAACTCTGCTCCCTCCGGTGGGGCGCAGAGACGCCCAAAGGTAGGACACCCCAGGAGGGTCTGGGGTTTCACACTCCTCAGAAGTGTTCCGTGTGCTCAGGCCCCAGCTTCCTGTGGAGGCTGCTTTCGCCTGCGAGCCCAAAATCCCACTGCTCCACTGTTTCCTCCCCAGTGACAGGCAGGAGAGGTCCCTCCCCACACTCATGGGCTGGGCTGCATGGAGCCCCGTTTGGGGAGATTCTCTGAGAGTCTCAGGCTGGGGAGGTGTGGAGTGGGTGGGAAAACCCAGCCACCTGGATCGCCCAGGTCAGGAAATGCACCTTCCCAGCTCTCCTACTGCCCGTTGGTTCCAGTGGCCAGGAGAGCGAACAGTGCCCAGGTCACCTTCCCTGGGGACCCACCCCCAGGAGGGGTCGCCACCCAGCCCCTTCTCTGATCTGGACTCCCCGGCCCGCACACCAGCCTTCCTTTTGCAGCATCAGACCCGGGAGTCCCAACCCCAGTGCACAGATGCACCCTCCCTCCCGCACGCTCAGCTCCAGCGTCCACACAGCCCTTCGTTGTCTGGAGCAGGGAGTGTGGATGGTGGCGCATGTGTGACTTCCAAGCATCACCTCGAGAACTCCCGATTCTGCAAGCCCTCTCTTGTGTCTGGTGCTGGGGGTTGAACCAGCATTGCCTGCTTGGGGAAAAGCCTGCTCCATCAGGACAGAGTTCTTTCTTTCTTATCCTCTTTTTTAATTTTTTCAATATACTCTATTGATGATGCTATTACAGTTGTCCTATTTCCCCCCCTCATTCCTCTCCACCCTGCACACCCCTCCCCCACCATTTCCCCCCTTTAGTTCATGTCCACGTGTCATAAGTTCTTTAGCTTCTACATTTCCCACACTACTCTTGCCCTCCCCCTGTCTATTTTCTCCCCACCATCTATGCTACTTATTTTCTGTACCTTCTCCCCCGCCCTCCTCTTCCCACTCCCCTGTTGCTAACCCTCCATGTGATCTCCATTTCTGTGGTTCTGTTCCTGTTCTAGTTGTTTCCTTAGTTTCCTTTTGTTTTAGGTGTGGTTGTTAATGATTGTGAATTTGCTGTCATTTTACTGTTCATGTTTTTTATCTTCTTTTTCTTAGATAAATCCCTTTAACATTTCATATAATAAGGGCTTGGTGATGATGAACTCCTTGAACTTTGACCTTATCTGGGAAGCACTTGACCTGCCCTTCCATTCTCAATGAAAGCTTAGCTGGATAGAGCAATCTTGGTTGTAGGTCCTTGCCTTTCATGACTTGGAATACTTCTTTCCAGCCCCTTCTTACCTGCAAAGTCTGTTTTGAGAAATCAGCTGACAGTCTGATGGGAACTCCTTTGTAGGTGACTGTCCCCTTATCTCTTGCTGCTTCTAGGATTCTCTCCTTAATTTAAATCTTGGTTAATGTAATTATGATGTGCCTTGGTGTGTTCCTTCTTGGGTCCAACCTCTTTGGGACTCTCTGAGCTTCCTGGACTTCCTGGAAATCGATTTCCTTTGTCAGATTGGGGAAGTTCTCCTTCATTATTTGTTCAAACAAGTTTTCAATTTCTTGCTCTTCCTCTTCTCCTTCTGGTACCCCTATGATTCAGATGTTGGAATGTTTAAAGATGTCCTGGAGGTTCTCAAGCCTCTCCTCATTTTTTTGAATTCTTGTTTCCTTATTCTGTTCTGGTCGAATGTTTATTTCTTCCTTCTGGTCCACTCCCTTGATTTGAGTCCCAGTTTCCTTTCCATCACTATTGGTTTCCTGTGCATTTCCCTTCATTTCAATTAGTTTAGCCTTCATTTGTTCCTCTAATTTGTAACTAAAATCAACCAGTTCTGTGAGCACCCTGATCACCAGTGTTTTGAACTGTGCGTCTGATAGCTTGGCTATCTCTTTGTTGTTGAGTTGTATTTTTCCTGGAGTGATCTGTCCTTTCATTTGGGCCTTTTCTTTTCTTTTTTTTTTTTTTTTTTGTCTTCCAGGGCCTATTCTGTAGTGAGGGGGCGGAGCCTTAGGTGTTCACCAGGGCAGGGCCACCCAAGTCACTGGGTTGTGACACTGTATGTGGGGTCGGGGTCCAAGAGGGTACAATGGTGCTTGCTCCGCTCTCAGCCAGATTTCAGTTCCTTCTGCCACTTCCCCCAAGCAAACTGGGCCCCTCTGGTGCTGGCTCCTGGGTGGGTGGGCTTGTGTATATTCAAGGACCCTGTGTGTCTCTCCAATGAACTCTCCTGTGAGGCTGGGAGTATCCCTGCGCCAAACCCCCACAGGTGACTCCAATTGGTGTTTTGAGGCTTTGTTTATTGGCGGTGGGACCCTGGGCTGTGCAGTCTGTCTTGCTCCCCAGTTATCTGCATGCGAACGTGGGACCACCGCCGGTCAGCCAGCGTCGTGGGTGGTGCCCCACTTCACAAGTGCTGCTTTGCTGGGTCTGCCATTTCTGTAAAGCATCAAGTACATCCAGATTTTCTTTCCTCGTGGGCGGGTGTTGGAGCTTGGTCAGGTCTTTGAGGGACAGGTGCGTCCACCTGGGCCATCAGAGTTGCAGGCAGAGTTGTCCCTAGCGTCCCTCCAGGGTCCTCCCAGCGTCCACAGGAGCCATTGGGGTGTCCCCTCTCCCATTTCTGACACTAGTAATGTGTCCTTTTTTTTTTTTTAGTGTGGCTAAAAGCTTATCAATGTATTGATCTATTGAGTAAAGGACCAAGCTTGTGGTTTAGATGATTCTACTGATTTCCTTTTTCCAATTCAATTCTGCTTTAATTTTTATTATTTTTCTTCTTACTTTGGACTTAATTTGGTCTTCATTTTCCACCTCTCCTGAAATGAAAGCTTACTGATTTCAGACACTCTCTTTTCTAACATAAGCACTCAGTGCTATTAATTTTCCTCTCAGCACTGCTGCGGCTACATCCGAGTTCTAGGTGTATTTTCAATTAGTTCAAAGATTTTTAAATTTCTCTTCACATTTCTTCTTTGACTACGCCAGGCCCTTTAGAACGCCAGGATGCTTGCCTTTGGAGGCGAATGGCAGACGGGGAGGCAGGGCCCAGAGCGAGTGGCTCGCCCAGGGTCACACTGTCCAGGGGTCACGCCGTCCAGGGGTCACGCTGCCCAGGACAGCAGGACTGAGGCTGGCACACCTGTTTGGCCCCTGGGAACCAGCCTGGATGTCCGCTCCCCCAGATGTTACTGCTGGTGGCTCTGCCTGCCTGTTGGAGGTGGTGAGCTTTCATTCGCGATGAACCTGGGTTGACTGTGGGGATTCAGGGGCTGGAAACGCAGCCTTGGTTGGACCTGGGGTCACTGCAGAGGTCAGGGTCTAGACCCAGACACTCCAGTCTGGGCCACCTGACATCTGACCCTCAGACCTCCCAGAGGCCCAGGGGGCCCAAGCGCAGACCCCATGCCAAGAAGCAGGTGGCTGTACCGCAGGAGGGTCCCTCCTCAGTCACTTCCCCAAGCTCCCTTAGGACACAACTCTGACTCAGGAGCCCTGTCAAATGCCATTTATTTTCAGTAGAAAAAGTGCCACTTTAACAAGACAGCAAAACACACAACACCGGCCTCGCCGGCTCTGGCTTCCCTGAGGGTCCCGTGTGCAGCCGGACCGAGCTGAGGACAAGGCCCAGCAGCGGGGACAGGGAGACCACATGGGGCAGCCTCAGTAGCAGTCAGCCTCGTTGTCCCCCAGGATGCCCGCGGTGGCCAGCATGTCCTGCAGCAGCGACTGGGGGCTCCTCTCCACGTGGTCACTGCTCTCTGCCAGCGCCCCCTGCAGGCCCTCTAGGTCCATGGCCCTCAGCACCGCCACCGCGGCCTCAGGCTCCAGGGGCCCCAGCGGCTGGCCCTGCTCACCTGCCTGCCACCTCTGCAGCGTGGCTTCCACAGAGGCCACATCAGGGCCGTTTCCTGCCCCCTGTGGGCTATTGTAGGGGGCGGCCTTGTCCCTCAGAAAGAGGAGGAGGTCGCAGGACTTCTGGGCCACAGCTCGGTCACAGTCAAACAAGGCCCGGAAGGCAAACTCGAAGAGCCGCACTCGGCAGAGCACCCGCAGGGCCTGGGCCAGCCGGCAGGGGGGCACAGCCGCAGGCGGGGCCACCGCATAGGGACAGTCAGGGCCGCGTGGGCCCAGCGTCTGGGCCAGGAACACCCGCGCCAGCTCGAGGCCCTGGGCCCGCACCTCCCAGTCCAGGTCCTGGCTTGCCGCCTGGAGCACCCTGGCCACGAAGCGCTCCGTGTCCTCGGCCACCTCAGAGTGGCCGTCCCTCAGCCACTCCGTGAAGACCTGCATGACGGCCCTCCGGGGGAACCCCTCCGAGTCTGCGGAGAGCACGTGCAGAAGGTCCAGCAGCAGGCTCTTCTGGGGGACAGAGAGGAACAGGTGAGGAGGCCCTGAGGGCGGGCTCCCGCTGACTCGGGGCCGCAGGCCAGGGAGAGCCCCTCGAGGGCTGGCTGTGCACGTCTGGGGCCAAGCCACGTGCCATCCCCAGGACTTTACTGGCACCTGGGGGCCACCGTACCTGAGGGACGTGGTGCTAGACACTGAATGGGAGACTCAGGGGACGTGCCCAACAGAGGCCTGGCCCCAAGTGCCCACGCTGGGCATCGAGACGGGTCTCGGGGATGGGCTACCTGGCCCCAGGCCCTCCCGGCTCTTACCTGCGGGCCTCCCGGGTGCTCAGGGCTGCCGCGGGCAGCATGCAGCCCCCGGCCAGAGAGCAGTCCCACGGCGGTCACCGCGCTTGCGCGGACGTAGCTCTCGGGGTCCTGCAGGAGCTGCTCGGCAAGCTCAGGCACCTCTGAGGCCAGGAGCGCGTGTCTGAAGCCAGCCTGTCCTGTGGACGGGCCGCCACAGCCAGCTGGGACCAGGGGATCAGGCCCACCGCTCCCCTGCACGCCATGAGGGCAGCCGAGGGGGCCCAACTCCCAAACCAGCAAGGGTGCCGCGGCGCCCAGGCCGCCAGCCCCCCCATTCCCCCGCACGCACTCACCTGCCCAGGACCGGGTCACCTGGGCCAGGAACTCGAGGCCCGAGTCCCTCACCTCCCAGCAGGGGCTGCACAGGCGCTTCTGCAGCACAGGGAGAAGCTCTGGGGCGGGAGGGCGGTTCAGAGTGGCCCGGCCGCCCGCCCCGCCCCCACCCCTGGCCCCGCCCCTCACGCCTCAGTGCGCCGGGAAGGGCCCGGTTACCTCCAAGGAAGCGCTGGGTGTGGGGGTCCAGGTCGCAGCAGCTGGAAGGCTGGGGTGAGCTCAGCAGCCACCTGAGCGTGGCCTGGAAGGCCTTCCTCAGAACCTGGGGCGGCAGAGGGGGCTGCAGGGCTAGCAGCGGAGCGCCCGCCTGCCCCCACCCAGGCTCCTACCCCCTGGACGTGATGAGATGGGGCCGGCCTGGGGAGAGGGAGCACTGGGCTTCCTTCCCTGAGGCCGAAGCTTCCCGAAGCAGCATAACTGAGCCCCCAGATGAGGGAGAGTGGAGGGGGCCCTCATGAGGAACCTCTCTCCTGGGGAAATGCAGTTTTTGCCCCCAGACCCTGGAGATGGCCAGGGCACCTCTGCCTGAAAGCCCCAGGAGTTGGGGGTCCCTGTGTCCAGCTCTCCCCAGTGCCGCTGAACCCTGCACCCACGGGTCCAACTTATGCGTGGGGCTGGGGGACGGGCACCTCCGCAGTAAACGCCTGGACGCCGAGCACAGGGGCCCCCTGGCTCCAGGCCACGTCTCCTGGGAAGACCCTGCAAGGGGCCCTGACCTGTCCCGCTGCCCACGGCCCAGTGCACCCCAGCACTCTGCCTTCAGCCACGCCAGGCCCCGGGCCGGCCCCTCCAAGCTCACTCTGAGAAGGGACTCTGCCCCCCAATCCCGCAGGCCTGTACCGTAGGGCTAGAGTCGGGGCTCGTGAGGTAATCCAGGAGGACAGCGAACACCTGCGTCACCAACTCTTGGGGGCCTGGGGGAGATGAGGGAGGGTGAGGCCACAGCCTCCAGCCGGGGCTCCCCAGCAGAGGAGGGAGCGGGTCAATCAGGGGGAGCAGGGGCAGACCCATCGCAGCCAAGTCCACCCCACAGACGACCAGCAGAGGGCAGCACCCCTGCGCGGCAAGGAGAGTGGGGCGCGCTCCACACCCGTGCTGAGTGAGAGGAAGCGTTCTGACGCACCTGCGCCCTGAGACAGCGCCCCCAGGAAGTCCAGGGCCGCTCGCTGGGCCCGGACACAGCCGGCCAGGATCGCGCAGAGGCGGCTCCCCACGTCGGAGGCGGGCACCGCCGAGCCACAGCAGAACTGCAGGACCGTCACTGTGGCGCCAAGCAGGGCGGCCTGGGGCCAGGGAGAGGGGCGCTGGGGCTGTGGGGTGGGAGGAGTTAGGGTCAGTGCGGCTGCCGGTCTGCCTGCCATGGGGGGCCGCAGGCCAGGGCCGCACCTACCGTGGGCAGCAGCAGCTCCAGGTGGGCCAGGGTCTGGCACAGAAGGCCCACGCAGGCTGACCTGGAGGACAGGAGGGCGTCCACCACGGCCGAGTCGCATGCGGGCTCAGCCGGCAGGCCTGTGGGTGGACCAGAAATGGCTCCCAGTCAGCAGGCGTGGCTACGGGCCTTGTGAGAGATTGCCGACCCCTCATCCACCCTCCACCACCAGACACTAGGACTGGAGGGTCCAAGCAGGCAGCCAGTCCAGGGTGACGGCCAGCCATTCGGGCCTGACTCCGTCTGCAGGGCTCCTGAGTCCCTGTCACCCCACAGCCCACTCGTGGGCGGGCTCCCTCGGCCCAGGAGGCTCCGCTCCATGCTTGGCATGGGCCTCGCAGCACAAGCCACTGTCCCCCCTCAACCCATCCTGCAGCTGATGGGACAAGTCACAGAACCCAGGCAGGTCTGGGCCCCACACCTCTTCGGCTCAGGAGCCACCACCTACAACGGCTGGGGTTGGGGAGGGAAGGCCAGCAGCTCTCCAAGTCGGGGTGGCGAGTACTCCACTAACCCACAGCCTGCCCTGGCCCGAAAGTCCCACACCCCTGCGCCAGCCTTCCCTCCCAAGTGGCGTACCTGGGGGTCCGGGGGCCTCGGCAGTGGCTTTCAGGATGCAGGCCAGGGGCTGGAGGAGGATGTCGAAGGCCTGGGTCCTCAGTGCCTGGGGACTGAGGACACAGGACATGGTGAGCACTGTTCCCTGACCCCAGTGCAAGCCGGCTGCCTCTCACAGCCTCAGCCAGTGTGCGGGCCCAGTGCCCGGCTTCTGGGCACTAGTACCCAACCTGGGGTGTGTACCCAATGGTGGCCCAGGGCCCTCAACCTGAGGTCACCGTGGGAGGCAGAGGCGCTCCGAAGCCTGTCTCACCCCTGAGGAGCTTGCGCGACTTTTGTTGGAAATGGTTACAGCCCACACACTGCCCAGCAGGCCCTGGAGGGCCGCCTCTGGCTGTCCTCAGCCTCTAGCACTCCCTGGAGCCCCCTGCCCCCACACCACGGACCCCGAGCTCACCAGTCCTGCAGTTTCAGGACTCCCAGAGCCAGAGGCCCTGCCTGTGTGGGGCTCAGGTGGCCCAGAGTCTGCGCCAGGGTCTCCCACAGGCCACCTTCAGCACTCAGTGCAGGGGACCTGCAGAGAAGGACCCCAGAAAGAGACAGTTACTCCCATCCCTGGGATACCCAGGGGACCACCACGCCTTCGGCAGTGTGCCTGGCAGACGAAGGGTCCTCCCCAGAGGCTGGCTTTCAGACCCTCTGCCGCTCCCTCTACCCGAGGCAGACACTGGGGAGGCCAGTGAGACGTAGCCTAGCAGGACAGCTGCCCTGAGGCTTCCCAGGGGCAGCAAGCACCCATGCCCCCCACCGCCGCCACCACGCCCACTGCACCCAGGGGGCCTGACCGTGCCACACTGAGGAGGAGATCCACCAGCGAGTGTGCAGCTGGGACGGGGTCTTTCTCGAGCAGACAGGCCACCAGGGGACTCAGCCGCACCCAGAGGACTTGCACCCAAGGGCTGTGGCAGTGCCCGAAGGTGGTGCTCAGGACGTTCAGGGCCTGCGTGACCCGGGGGGCGGCTGTGGAGCACAGGGACTCTTCGATGTGGCCCAGGATCCTTTGGGCGCATGCAGGCCAGTCCCGAGCCTGCAGGCCAGGCTGGGCCCCGGCTGGGCCTCGCATACACAGGTCCAGTATGTGGACCAGGAGCTGCCCAGCCGCTGAGGCCACAAACAGGCTGGAGTCTCCCTGCAGGGAGAAGATGGTGTCCAAGGCGCCTGGGGAGCGGACAAGACAGTGGGGTCAGCGGGCACAGGGCGGTGTCCATCAGCAGAGCCCAATACCTCAGGGGAAGCGCCTGAGCGCCGCCAGCTGCCAGGGGGGCCATCAGAGGCCTGGCCGTCCTCTGCCTGGACACCGGAGACCTGGAGCTGGGCCCAGGCTGGTGTGGCTCAGTGGGGTGGGCCACAGGTCAGGTCCTCAGTTGGGGGCACGTAAGAGGCAACCACACACTGTTGTTCCTCTCCCTCTAAAACCAAATTAAATATTTTAAAGGAAAAAGAACCAGAGCCAGAGTGTGGTGGGGTGATTGGCACCATTTCCTGCCAGGGCTTTAACCCACAGGGGCCTCCGAGTCCTCCAAGTGGTTCCAAAGCCGCCCCAGCTGCTGGGCCTCACACTCTCGAGGGGTCTCTACCCCCGGTCACCGTGTCCCCCACAATAACACCCCGATGTCGCCGCCACTTTCAGAGATGATAAAGCGTGGCAAAGGCCTCCCGGGGGCCACATAGCACCAGGCTCGGCCAGGCCCAGGGGAGGCAGGTGGATGGGTGGGTGGGGGCCTCACCGAAGTCATCCAGGAAGCGCAGGGCGCTGGGGTGCTGTGTCAGGGCGCGCAGGCCCTGGATCCAGCCACTGCGCACTGTGGGCGCCGTCCAGGCCGCTCCGCCCCGGGGGCCCGCCTCCCCGAAGAGCCCGGGCAGCACCTGCCCCTGCTGGAGTGGAGAAGGGATGGTGACCCGGCGGGCTCCCAGGGACAGGCAGCCGGGAGACGCTCTGCCACTGCTGGTGCTCACGGGGGAAGCTTCTGGGCCCCACTGTGCCCCTCGGAGGTGGCTGGTGATGCCCCCTGGCCACATTTTAAACAAAGGTCCCTAGATCTTATCACGGTTCACTTCAGACATGCTCCCCTGCAGGACACCACCCTCCTTGTGTCCCCCACCCAGATAGCCTGTCCCCACCCCCGTTCACTCTTTACAAGCCATGGGGTGGGGGGGCACATTTGGGAGACTCAGAGGTAGTGACAGCCATCCCTGCTTTAAGTGCCCGCAGAGAAGGCGGCCTCCCAGGCCAGGGGCCGAGCTCACCTGAAGGTACTGGAAACAGTCTTCCTGGGCGGCCAGCACACCCGCCAGGTGGAGGGAGAAGGAGAGGATGCCGGCACTCAGGCCCTGGGCTTTCGGCACCTGGAACAGCAGCTCCACCAGGCAGGGGCTGTCCTCCAACAGCAGCAGGCTGGACCCTGGACACAGGCCCAGCCAGGGAGCGCGTCACCAGGGGCACAGTGCTACGCGGCCCCCAAGGGACTGCTCCCCCTGCGCTCCCAGACCCCTTTCTCTCTGGCCTTCCGGCTCAGCGGTCTAGCAGGGAGCACACCTCCGCCGCCGCCATTGCAACAAAGGACTCCTATCTTAATTGGAACAAACTAGAAAAGCCAGGACCTCAACGCAGCAGGTAGGGGGCAGAGACAGGAAGTACAAATGGCCAAAAACCCTGAAAAGATGCACCGCCTTGCTGGCCATGGAAAAGAAGTGCAGGTCCAAGCAGGAGGCCATTTCCCCTCTCGAATGGACACTCTTCCCTTGAACCCTGAGTACTCGCTGCAAGGCCCAGACCCGGTCCGGCCCCACCCATGCTGCGTCCACGGCGGAGGCTGGGAGAGGCCCCCCAACACAGAGCTGCCCTGGAACACAATGGACAGAGCGAGGGAGAGGAAGGAGCAAGAGGCAGAGACCCACAGCAGACAGGTGGGCAGGCCTGAAAGGCGGCGACTCCCCCCGTCGGAGTGACTGTCGAAGGGCTTTAAAACAAGACGAACTCTGAACACCAGCAGACGACAGGGCAGAGCGTGTCGGCCTGGCGTGCCAGTGTGCCGGGGCCTGGGGCCCTCTGAATAGAGGGCAGAGATTCTCGTTTACTCAAAACTGTTACCCAGCCGGCGCCTGCCAGGAGCCACCAAAGAACACATGTGGATGGAACACACAACTTGAAAGCCAGAGGAAGAGCTGGAAAACCAAAGGCTTTGAGAACCCCGCGAAGAGCGGAGAAAGGTGGAAAACGGAGTACAGACAGATGCGGGGAAAACATGAAAGCACGTGGTGAGCACAGGTCCAACAGAGCAGCAAACAAACTCAGAACAGACCCAACTTCGGTAAGAGCTCCTCGGATTAGGTTAGGAACCAAAGGTCACCCAGTATCAGCTGGTCTGTGGGAGACGGGGACATGTCACCCACGGGGACCTGCCCGGCACAGGTGGTGAAGAGAGGCAGTGGCCAAATTCCAAATTTAAAAAAGCTGGCACGGCAAGAGTCAAGTAGGAGAAAATGAACTTTGGGCAGAAAGCGCCCGCAGTGCTGGGGGATGAGGGTCGCACTCAGGGACAGACCCCAGCAGGCGCAGCGGTCTCAGCCTGCTCGGACCTGCCCTAACGCCCAGGTCTGTAAAAGGGGAAGAAAGATTCCCAGAAAAACACTGCCGAACCCACGGTCTCAGAATAGGGCTTCTACACACCTCGAAGAAACAACAAAGCAGACGAAGTAGCAACACCGACAGAGACTTGAACCGAGTCTCTGTGGGGCTCTGGGCTAGAACACGTGGGGGGACTGAGCACCAGCCAGGGGGCGCCATGGGGGCTGCTCCAGTACCAGGCTTCTTTCCGGGTAAAAATGTCGCAAAACCACACTGTGGTGATGGCTACATAACCCTGTAGGTTTGCTAACAGCCACTGAATTGTGTGCTTTACATGGGTCAACTGCATGGAATGCAAATTCCATCTCAATAAAGCTGCTCAAAAATATTCTTCTTTAATCTGACTACAAAGTAGGCCACCACGGAGGACTCTACAAACACCAAAGAAGAACATCATCATGCACGAAACCCACAGCCCGTGCAAAAACTGCCCACGCGGACACCTCCACCGAAGCCCAACGGACGGGAAAGAATGGGAGTGCAGGTGTTTTCTCACTCCAACAAACTCCATTAGAAAGACTGAAAGAAAACCCATGCTTTGCAACTAAAAGACACCCTGTTAATAAATACTTTGTGGGTGAAGGAAAAAACCACCATGCAAAGTCCGAAATACCTGGAACTAAATCACAGCAAAAATACTGCGCGGTAACACTGTGGGGTGCCACTGGGTAACCCTCGGGGAGAGGGGCAGCCTCTCGGGCACCTGGGGGAAACGAGAAGACTGAGACGGCCAACTCAAGAGAGCAAAAGGAAAAGGAGGCCGAAGTCAGTAATGAACTACAGACATCAGTGACTGGGATTACCAGCCGCGCTACCTGTAATAATGAAGCAAGGGTCGCCTACATCACCTAACGACAGCGAAGTGATTAACACAGCGAGTGACAGCCCATCACCCCGCGTGCTCCGTGGGGAGAACGCCGGCCATGAGGGTGAAGGAGGAAAGAAGAGTGCTAAGTGTCTCGGGGCGTAGTTTTTATAGGAAAAACACAGCTTTGCAATGCGTTAGGGAAAAAGCCTGACAGCAAACAGAGAGCTGAGAGTGGTTTATCTTTCCTCCTTATTCCTTCAAGCCATTCACATTCTACCTAAAGAATGGGTACTACTTTCATCATCCGAGAGAAAGCCAAACTGGTTTCTTAGTAAAGAAACACAAAAACAAAAGCACTGATAACAAAAATAAGTCTGTCCACGCCCTCTGCAGCCACCTGGGAAGCAGCTAGGACATCAAGCCCCAGCTTTCGCCCCCCTGATGGCTCCCTCAGGTGTCCCCAAGTGGCCAGGGAGATCTTTAGGGTGTGAAAGACTCCACCCAGATGGGTACCCCTTCCCCAGGACAGGAGAGCCCTGCGCACCCTCTGGCCAGTGGGCAAAGTCAAGAGCAGCACGCCCACCCTTACCTGCTTCAGTTACAGTTTTAAACCAGTCCAGCAGCTTCTCCAAACAGGTATCATCTGCCACTGGCTGCCTGGGGTCTGCCAGGGCAGCACAGAGGGCGGGGAGGAGCTGGGAGCACTCGGGGTCCATCGCGAAGCCGGGGTTCCTGGAAAGGAAATGTCAGGGCCAGGTGCCGCCAGGACTGCCAGATGAGGTGGACTCAGGCAGTTAGCCTGAGTGGGGCTGGAGGGAGGAGGTCAAAACCAGGCAGGGCCCTGCGTCCTAGCCACGGGGCTGGGAGGGAGTCCGTCTGGCGTCAACCACGAGGCATTAGGCGCTCAAAGCCGCCAACCTCAGACTCTGGGGGGAGGACGAGAGCATGGCGCTCACCGAAGATGCGGGTAGACCTGTGAGGGGTGTGGGTATGTTCTGAGGCAGCCACGTGTACAAGGCAAGTGCGTCTCTGTCCGGGTTGGAAGGTCAGTGCGGAGTCAGCCTGGCTGCACCCAGCAATCCTGCAGCCGGCGGAGTGTGCGACAGGAAGGCCAGGACCTGGGTGTGCACCTGCGTGTGGGGCCTTGGAGGGGGGGGAGGGTGCCCTCAGGTAGATGCATTAACCTGCACCCCGAGTGCAGTAAGTAACCTGCCTGGGGTCAAGGAAGCGGGGAGGGGTTGGGGAAGTGGCCAGTGGCTCTGTCGGGGTCGGGAAGTCTGCTTGGGCTGGGGTGTCCGTCTGTCCACCCGGTTGAGACCAGATCCCTGCTGAAGAGCACTCCCTGCTCTTCGGGGTCAGTCTTAGGCCTGCGGACCCCGCGGCGGGAGCCCGGCCCGGGGAGCGTAAAAAATACACAGGGGGCAGGGGCAGCCAGCCGTGGTGGCGCTGAGATCCCCGCGCACCCCGGCCCAGGCTGCGCCCCCGCCCTCACCCAGGGTTCCCATCGCGCCCCGCCACAGAGCCCGCGACCCCCAGGTACGCGCCTCACCAGCCCCGGGTTCTCCGCCGCCAAGGCTCCGCCCCCGCCCCGCAGGCCCCGCCCCGGGCCGCGCCACCTGCCAGATCTGGAGCGGACAAGGACGGGGACTGCGGCCGTGGGGAACTGTGACAGCTTCCTGGAGGCCACTCTGGGAGCTCAAGGGTCCATATTTGGGGGAGAAGCTCAATCCGAAAGGCGTTGGAGACCAGCCGGCGCAACAGCAGTCGCTCCGACTCTGAACCTCCCCCCGCCCCAGGACACTCAGTGGTACGCGCCGAAGCGACCGACCGACGAGCCTTGCGTTTGGAAGGAGTGGCTTCCTCGGAAGGGGTATGGCTACTTACAGGAAGGGGCGTGGTCTACCCAGCGCGGGTTGGGAGGGTACCTGCAGTTTGAAAGGCCTGCACGTGTCGGAAAGGGGCGTCGTCGTACTTGAGGCAAAGTCCTTGGTCGTTTGGCTTGAAAACTGGGTCATCAGGTTCCCGTAGCCATGTGCCAGAGGCTCTCAAGGCCAATGGATAAAAATACCAAAACAAAGCTCATCTTCAATGAGAGTTTTTCAGCAACATTTTGGGGGAAACACCGCATATAAGGAAATAGAAAGGAGATTCCTGTGGGCATTAAGATAAAAAGGGACACATTAATTTTGATGGGGGAACCACTTCAGACAAGCGTCCTTCCTGATCCTTGCCCTCCTGCCCTAGAACTGCGTGGGTGAAAAGGTTTGAACCTCATGGGTACCTTCCCTGAGCTGAGACTCCTTAACATAAAGTGGGGATGGGCGTCTTTGCCAAGGCGGTGGTCATGGGGGAACCTCTCAGCACTGTGCTAAGTGCTTCACTCAACACACGCTTGGGTGACTCAGCAAGCCTGGAAGGGTGGGTGCCACCGCTGTCCCTCCAGATGAGGAAACTGAGGCACAGGGAGGCTCACCCCCAGGATGTCACAGTGAGTGGTTGGTACGGCTTGGACTCGGACCAGGGCAGTCTGGGTCTGCACTTACAAGGTCCACAATTTCTTACCAGAAACTTGGGGACAAATGGTTCCTCTCAGAGTTGTTCAGATTCTAGGGATGGTTCACTTGGGCTGTGTATGAGATTAAAATGCCGGGGCGGGGGGGGGGGGGGGACTGATTGCGCACCCCATCCAGGTGTGTCCAACCTTTTGGCTTCTCTGCGCCACACCAGAAGAATTGTCGTGGGCCATAAATTAAATGCATTGCGACATGTAATCACACACACACACACACACCTTCATAATGTAAGAAATAAATTGGGCCACATTCACAGCCATCCAGGGCTACATGCCGCCAGCGGGCACAGGTTGGACACCCCTGCAACTCAAAGCATTTGTCGTTCTGCCAGAAAACACTCTAGTACACGTGGAATAAACACTCGACAGCCTCAGCGCAGATGCGTGTGGACAAATGCGTGAGGACTGATTTTGCCAACATGGGTATTATGCAAGTTTTCCAATGTTTTTAGCATTAAGAACGGCAGATAAAAGGTCGTAGACAGTGAGGCCTGTATAATCGAATACGAGAAAGTGACGCAGCGGACGCAGGCAGCGCACGCAGGCAGCGCCAGGAGTCTGCACAGCCCCAGAAGAGGGAGAGGCGACTGGAGCCGCAGGCCAAAGGGAGCACAGACAGCAAAGGAGCCCTGCGGCAGAGGAGGTTCCGGGAGCGCAGTTTCTCGGGCAGCTGGGGCTGGTGCGCATGCGCACGGCCGGTCGGCGCACTACGCACCACATCCGGGACTCCTAGGACCAGCAGGTTGCGATGGCAGCGGGGTCGCGGCGGGCGCGCGGACCGGCCCAGGCTGCTGGCGGCCCGGCGGCCCGCGGAGCCCGGGAGTCCGACAGCCGCGCCCACAGTGCAGAGGGGCGGCCAGGCAGCGCCGCCGCCATGTCTCTGGGCACCGGAGATCCTGCTTCGGAGACGGTAAGCGCGGGCGGGCCGGCGGGCTGGCGGGCCTCCTTGCTCCCTCCAGCTCGTCCGGTTGGCCGGTCGGCGTACAGGCCGGAGGAGGCGGCCGCCGGTGACAGCTGCCCAGATTGCTACCGCCTGAGAGCAGCCCGCCGGCCCCCGCCCCCGTGCGGCCCGCTAGGCTTCGCTGTCCCTCGCCCATCCTCCAGCGCCTCTGGTTCCCGCCTGCCCTTGCACAGGCCGCTGCTTCTCGGAAGCCTTCCTGGACGCAGCGTCCTCGCCTAGACGCCCGAGACCGGGGCCCGCTTGGGGACGGAGCTCACTGTGTGAGTGCCCGCCCGCCCTGTGCCTCCAGGGACAGGCAGCGGACCTGGCGAGCAGCCGAGTCATCCCCAGAGTAAAGGAGGGAACCCCAGGCTGGAGAACAGTGCCCTGCCCAGTACCGCCCAGAGATGGCTTCCCAGAGGAGACTCTGCCCATCTTCTCTTGCTTGGGTCAGGGCAAGCAGGCTCTCAGCCCTCCCTTTAGCCAGTGTTTGGAGCCCAGAGACCGGCTGTGAGGGTCTTGTGTGAGCATTCTAGCAGCGGGAGAGCAAGGCAATCAGCAGGTGGTAGGCACGCGTCAGAAAGTGGAAAGTGCACCAGACTGCGGAGGAAACTGCAGGTGGGCTGGGAGGGCTGCTTTCCAGTGGGTGTCAGCAGCAGTTGCTCTGAGTGCCCACGTGCTTGGAGGTCTGCAGTGGAGGGAGCGGCCAGTGCAAAGGCACCGAGATGGGAAGCAGCCTCTGCTCCAGGGCCCAAAAGAAAGCTTGCTGGGCCATCTGTTGTGGGGAGAGGGCGTGGATGGGGACACACACCCAGCCTAGCCTCCTGGAGTCTCACAGACCCTGCAGGGAGTGTGAACTTCATTCAGGGCCCAGTGGGAAACTTCTGGAGGGTTCCAGGCAAAGGGAACCTTCGTCCCTGTGGCAGTGTGCGGTGGCACCCAGAGGAGGGCCCAGTGCTGCTGGCTCCTTGGAGCAGCTGAAGCTGCCTGCTTGTCCCTCCAGGCTGGGGTCCTGCCCCATCTGGAAGGCCTGCCTGGTTGTCTGCAAGCCGCAGTTACTGCCCCTTCATCTCCGAAAAGTAACCTCTTAGGTGTGATGATAAAAATAATTCATGCCCATTAGAGCAAGTTTGAAGGGCTAAGTACCTGTAACCTCACTACCTGCAGAAAACCAGTGAACGTTTGGGGTGTTTCCTGCCAGTTTTTTTCAATGCATCTTTTTTTTCATACAGTTTTAAAAATTGAGACATTTATATTGTTTTGTAACCTTTGCCATTTAATTTGTTGTCAGTGCTTTCCCCATATTCACACATTTTCAAGAACATGATTTTGAAAATTCCAACCTGAGGATCCCCCTGTCTTATGTATCCATTTCCTTGCGTTTGCTCTTCCCTGTTTGTCTTCTGCTGCTGGAAGCGTCCTTTCTCGTGCACCCGTCAGGCCCCTCCCACAGCCAGGCTCTGCGGGCACATGGGACTGGAGTCAGGCTGCGGAGAGGCTGTACTGAGCCCTCCGGGCACTTCGGGGACTCAGCCCGCTGCCCTAGCTCCCTGCACCGTCTCTGCGGAGCCCAGTCTGTTTCACCAGGCGGGAGCCACTGCTGGCAGATGCTGTCCAGCCTGTCCAGTCCCCCCGTCCCTCAGCACGGAGTTGCCCCCAGGCTTCCTCGTGAACTTCACAGAATACTTGCCACAATGCAGTGGGGGCGGTTTGCTTACTCTGCTGTGGCCCTGACAGGCCCTACAGTGCAGAGCCCTGGGGTGTCATGGAGCCTGGGTGTGACCAGCAGTGAGCCAACACCTGTGAAAGGCCGTCAGGATTTCATCCTGACCTCCTGGGGTCGCCTTTGGGTCAGTAGAAGGCACTTGTTAGTCAGAGGCTATGTTTAAGGCCCTGAGCCAGCCCAGTTCTTACCCTCGACCACTGCACATGCTTGCCCAGTGGCTCGGAGGCCACTGCCACTGGCTGAGGTGGACGGGTCTGCCTGGCGCGTGGCAGGGACCAGCAGCCTGGTACCGGCATCAGGCAGTGTGGACCCACGTCACTCACTGGGCCAGGGCAGGTGCTGGAACCAGGACACTGGGGCCTTTTTTGGCCCAAACCACACAGGTGGCCCTGAGTGTGGCTTTTACGTGACTGTGACTTGTTATCAGCAGCCCAGGCCACAGGTTCCTGGTGCTTCGATGGGAAGATGAGTAAGAGAACATGTAAACAGCGTGAGAAGTGGCACCCCTGTAGCACACTGGCCCCGCCCGAGACTCTGGAAATGCGCTGCTAGGCTGCCACGCTGGAGTGGCCCCAGGGGGAGGAGTCCTTGTTTTCTGTCCCCACCTTCTCTTCCGATGCCACCGAGCAGCCCACTGCTGGCTCCCAATGCTCCGAGTTCACTCCGGCTCTGCTGGGGGCCTCTGCCTCAGCAGCACGGGCGGCTGTTCCCTGGGGAGCGAGACCGCAGGGGGCCCGGCAGGCACCGGGGGTCTCAGTGTTGCATCTCTTCCTGCAGGGGGATGACAGTCTGTCTGCGATCACCTTGGACTCTGACTGCGAGACGGTTAGTGTGGTCGGGAGGCCGCAGCATGACCCAGGGCTGGTGGCTCCCTGACACGGACTCAGTCACATGTGTGCCCCCACCATGGCCGTGCCTCGGCCTGGAGCACAAACCCCAGGTGCTGCTCGGTGTTTGTAGAGTCTTTAGCTGGAGTTGAGTAACTGTGATTATAATTTTAAAGCTTTTATCCTGAAGTTCATCCTGGGTGGGCTGCATGCGAGGCAGTTGACAAGGTCCTTCCTGCACCTGGTGTGGGCCCTGCCCCGACTCCCAATCCTGACACATAAGGGGAGGGAGCAGGGCTCTGGGTGAGGTCGGCAAAGCACTGCAGGGGAGGGGCGCTCTCTGCAGCTGCACAGTGATGTCCTGGCCGTCCTGTGTGGGCGCTGGCCCGAGGAAGCACAGGCAGCAGGGTTGCCTGGTCACAAGGTTCTGGCTGGCTGAGTCCACCCTTGGGCACAGTCTCACCTGGCACCGCAGGCCTGAGGACAGTGGGGGTGGGCAGGTTCGCATTAGTGCAGGGTCCTCAGCTCGAACCTGAGGTCCCACACCCTCCACATCTGTGATGTGACTGGGGCCACCAGGACTCTGGGGGTCCCACCAGCCTGGAGCACACATGGGCAGCATGTGCTTTAGCACCTCCTCCCTCGTCATCCTTACACTCCCAGCCCCCTCGACAGGCCAATGCGGTGGGCTGGGGTCTCAGGGGCTCCAGCACCTTTTCTCCTTCCTTCCAGACAACAAAGAGGAGAAGCGTCCACAGACCTCCACCCACGTCTCCAAGTAAGTACACGGCTGCGCGCACCTCCACCGTCAGCCCCTCCCCGGAGATGGTTTCGGAGCCTACACTGCCCTCATGTCCTGGGGGAGAGTCGGGGTATCTGTTCCTTTTGTACTTAGGATCACTGAGACCAACACCCTGGCCACTCGGCTTGGTTTTCCTGTTTGGATCTGGGGGGCGGGCGCCAGTTGCCAGTTGCCGCAGCCCTGGTCCCAGCAGGCGGAGGCCCAGCTGGGAGCCTCCCACAGACTCAGGACCTTGTGGCCTTTCATGCTGGGTTTCTCCCGAGGCTCAAGGAGCTCAGCTTCTCAGGATGCAGCCGTAGAGGCCATTCTCGGCCTCAGGATTTGTTTCCTGAGAGCAGAGCTGCGGTGGGGGGGGCGGGGGGTGCAGTGCTGCACGGGGGCAGTGTTGCGCATGCGCAGACCCCCAGGCCTGGGGCAAAGGCGGCGGCAGTCTCCCTGCGGCTCGGTGACCGGTGACCGGAGGCGGTTCTGTCCACCTTCCTTGGCTGAGCATACACCACAAACCATGCGTGGGGTTCTTTCGGGTGACAAATGACTCTCACAAATGAGCACTTGTGTGGACATCCGGTCTGGAGGGCCCTTCCTTTAGAACATCCCACTGGGGTCTTAGGCGGGTGACCTGCGTCTGGTTGAGGTCTGGTGTGGTTTTTTTTTAATTTGGTATTTTTATTTATTTATTTTTAGAGAGGGGAAGGGAAGGAGAAAGAGGGAGAGAAACATAAGTGTTATTGCCTCTTCCACACTCGCCACTGGGGACCTGGCCTACAGCCCAGGCATGTGCCCTCACTGGGAATCGAACCGGTGACCCTTTGGTTTGCAGGCCAGCACTCAGTCCACTGAGCCACACCAGCCAGGGCCCGATGTGTCTTTCATCCCTCCTGCTAAGTTATAACAGGAAATTTTCCATAAATTTTAAAGCCATGGAAAAAGTGTAGGAATTTAAAAAACTCATTAGACTTATATTTTTAGGTAAGAAATATAAACATTTTTATAAATAATGTAGCTTTTGCATCAATTTGTTATATTTTACAAAATTAAAGAGATGAAGCCCCAGACTAGAAAATATTTTTTAAATATTTTTCTCCTTTTGATGACAGACTCATAAGGAGCCTGGAAAAATATAGTTATTTTTGTTTCCTCTAGACCGTTTATGTGTTGAGTTCCAAATGCTATTTACTATGTTTGAACTATGTAGAAACATAAAAAGCATTTACATTGCTGAGTATAAAGCATGCAAAATTATATTCACCATGACAACAACTATGTAAAATGCATTACCTGAAAAAACCTGCTGGGAAATTGAATGCTGTGATGTTGGTAGAATTGCGGATTTATCCTGTAAAACAAGCTTCCCATCATGTTGCTGCTTCGAGACAAAGTGCAAACAAGCGTGAGCGTGTGTCCCCACCGTACTGCCTCTGTCCTCTGTGTCGTCACGCCCCCGTGAGACTCCTTGTGTCACCTTGCCCTTCCGGAGCCCGTGGGCTGCGGGGCCCCGTCTTCTGCCCCTGAAACACCTGTCGGCTTTCAGAGTCGCCGTACTCCTGCCAGCCGAGGGCAGTGCCATCCTGGAAGTCTCTGAGGACAGCCGCAAGCTTGCCTCTCAGTCACAGAATGACCCTCACCCCGCAGCAGCTGTGGCGGGGAAGTTCAAAGCCAGGTACGCGGGTCTCCCACAGAGGCCTTTTGGCTCGGAACGCACTTCCCTGCTGTACGTCCAGCAGCCGTGCACAGAGAGCTCGCTGACCTCGCTGTCCACTGGTTGGCCGGTGGGCGGCACGCCTCGAAGTCAGTTATGGAGGCAAAGCCTCCCCTGTGTTGCTTGGACCTGAGCCCATGCCCACCCCAAGCAGGCGGCATGGCCCAGCCCCCGAAGCCAGGCCTCACCTTGGAGCGTCCCTGGGCCCACCCCCCAGGCAGCACCCCTGACCACCTAACGGAGGCACTGAGAGTGAGGAGGTCAAACCTCAGGCGTTCGGCCAGCAACGGTGAGCTCGTGGGGGCGGCGGGCGTAACCAAGGGAGGGAGGAGGGTACGATGTCCCAAGGACACGACCCCCGACAGTCCACCCTGCCCCTCAGGAAGTGGCGTTCCTAACGTGCTCGGTGACACCGTCCCAGGCTCCACCTGTCCCTGACCCTAAGTTGGGCGTGCCAGAAACACCAGAGGGACACGGCTTGTCTTCCCCACTCCATCTCCAGCCCCCGGTCTCTGTGCTGACACTTCAGAGTTACCACCTGCCACAGCCTCGGGCATATCTTAGGTCCTGAGAGACAGGTGCCCGTGAAAGCCAGCGTGCCGTGTGCCCATGGCTGGGACGTCGGAGCCGGTGTCCTCTGCTGGGAGGTGGTGTGCTTGTCTCTGTTCTGGCTGCTGTTGGGGGGCAAACACACACTCCCTTCAGCCCTCCCCACCTGCAGCCATCTCGGTGGTCCAGCCCTTCATGCCTCCCATCAGCGCCTCCCCACAGCCCCCACCGCTCTCCATTTCCTTTGGGGGGGGCCATGGAGATCGGACTAAAAGCATTGAAATATTTCTGCTGTTATTTTTAAGAGTAATTTTATTAGCTTCCATGTTTTTCTAAAGGTACAGCCAAAAATTCTTCCTCCTTTTCGGATGGTTAAGGGGATTGTGTGTCTCCCTTCCAGGTCATGTCCCGGGGACCCCCATCTACAGAGAGAAAGAGGACATGTACGACGAGATCATCGAACTGAAGAAGGTAGGCCCCTCTCTGCTCTCTGCTGAGGGGGGGAGGAAGCCTTGCCCAGCAGTGGGGGGGGTGGGGGTGGGGCCGGGACGCAGCTTGGGTGGAGTATGAGTGGCAGGGCGACACCCACGCTCACACCTGGGCTGGTGGCCCTGGTTGAAGAAAGGCCAGCTTATACCTGTGCTCCTCAAGTACCAGCGGGTGAGGAGACCTTCAGGGCTTTTGTTGCTGGGAGACCGGTGTGGTGTCTTGCATTCTGTGAGCCCCCCACTGGCAGGTGTCTCCAGTGTTTCTCCACTGGAGCCTGGATGGGGGATGAAAGTTTTAGCGGGACCTCCACTGGTTTTGAGTCTTAGTGACAGGCGCCGTGGCAAAGTGGTCTCTCCCCCCTGCAGGGCAGCGTGGCTTGTAGAGCGGCGTCCCCGCGGGGTGCCCATGGCCTTCTGCGTGAGAGAGTTCTTAGTGGGGTGGGGGGTCTGCACTGACTGGCCTGCACCCCTGCCCCCCCCAATGGCAGTAGTGCCCTTGGTGCCGCTTACTGTGATGGCCAGCCTCCCTGCCACCCCGCCCTGCACGGGGTCCCGGGAGCGACCGGGCATCTGGGAGCCTGTGTGTGGCCATCTTTCCGCAGTCACTGCACATGCAGAAGGGTGACTCGGACCAGCTGAGGACGCGGCTCCGGCGCCTGGAAGAGGAGAACGCCCGGAAGGACCGGCAGATAGAGCAGCTGCTGGATGCCTCCCGGGTGAGGCCCCGCCCAGGGCGGGGACAGACAGGGCGGGAATGGGGGGCCTGCACTGCGTGTCCCCCTCACGTCTCCACCTGCTCTCCCAGGGCCCCGATCGCATGTGGACTCTGGCGGACAAGAGGCCTGACACTGGCTGGGTGAGTGTGACCGCAGCAGGACAGGCGGCCTCCCCGCGTGAGGCTGGTGATGGCACTTGGTTGCGAGGGGTAAGGTCACAGGGTATAGTTTCACTTAGAACATGTTTTTATAAGAAAACGTATTCATGTGCTACTAACACAATCTAAACTCCCCTTAAAATCAATGAAAACGTCGTTTGTTCACATAGGGAGGAAGGGCCTTCTTCTGGGAAGGTGGGGCGTCGCCCTCCACAGTGAAACAGTAATGGACAGAGGAAGAAGTGTGGGCACTTCTGGGTCAGGGTCAGCTGCAGGGGACACTGACCCAGCTGGGGCTGGACAGCCTGTGTCCAGAGGAGGAAGCCATGCACAAGTGGCCAGCCTGACGGGCCACTCTGCTGGCAGGTGGTCAGCGGGCTGCGGCAGCGGGTGCTGAAGCTGGAGCAGCAGTGCAAGGACCGGGACAGCACCATCAGGTACGGCTGCGTGGGCCACCCGGCCCCCCGAGGCCATCGGCTGCACGCCCTCAGCCAGTAGCTTTCGTTCCACCTGCCACCCTCTGCTCTTTGTCCCTGGTCCCAGCTTCATCTTTCCACCAGAAGAAGTAAGCATTCAGCTGCTTTTCTCAGATGTTGGTGAGAACGGTGCTTTCCGTCAGCCTCTTCCTGTTCCCGTTGCTTTCTCTCCGTAGCCTCCTGGCGCTCCCTTTTCCCCTCCAACGTGAACTTGGCAGTGCTTCTCCATGTTCCCCCCTCGACCCCTCCACAGGCAGGTCCTGCCGCTGCCCCACTTCAGCCTGCTGGCTGGGAGCAAAGGGGGAGCCTTTCCCAGCAGGGCTTGGGTTCATTTAAGGAAATCCCAAGTTCTATTTTCTGGTGCCCCAAACGTGTCCAGCTGTAAAGGCAGCCTCTACTAGCACAGGGCAGCGTCAGGGAGTCAGTCACCTGCCCTTGGGAAGCAGCCCGTGGGTGTGAGCACGTTCTAGGGAATGCAGGCACCACGTGCTGACCATGAGCTTGGGTCCACAGCAAGCTGCAGGCTGACATGAAGACCACGAACTTGGAAGAGATGAGGATTGCCATGGAGACCTACTACGAGGAGGTGGGTGCCCTGTGCCTGGGGTGGGGACCCTACCCTCCTGGGCCAATGTGACGGGAGCACCGGCACCTAGCGCTTGCCTCTCATGGGGGCGACTCGGGCTGGCCCCTGGCTGCACTCTCGGGAGGGCCGACCTCATCCATGCGCACAGGCACCTCATGCCTTTCGACTTGGTGTTTGCAGATCTACCGGCTCCAGACGCTGCTGGCAAGATCGGAGACCCCCGGCAGGAAGTACGATAACCTCGGGCCTGCTTGGGTGCCACCTCATGTCCGACCCTTGCCCTCAGTCCTTGCTGGCTGTGGGCTATGTCCCTATGGCCATGGTGACAGAGGCGTGGGTCGCCCCATGCTCAGCACGGCCCCCAAGCAGCCGTTGTCCTAATGAACACCCGAGAGCCCCCGCTGCAGGGTCAGTGAGCACGCGTCTCTGAGACGCCGGGTGCAGGGACGTCCGCTGACTGTGCGTGTCAGAACAGGCGCCCGGGACTCCTTATGTCACAGGCCCCTGTTTCCCCACCCCCCCACACCCCACCACTGGCCTCCCTGTCCTAGGACTGCCTCTGCTAAGTGGTGGGATGCTGGAGTGCCCCCTCAGCATTGGGCACAGCCTTCCCTCCTGCCCTGGTGCCAGCCATGGACAGCGGGTCAGCATACCCTTCCCTGCGGGCCTGGGGTGCTGGTGTCTAAGACACCTCCTCCGTGAGAAGGGCCAACTCGCAGATGTGGGACTCCCGGCCCTGTGGCTGTGGGCTCCCCCAGCGAGGCTACCGCACTCTCTGCTCAGGACACTGTAAACAATGACAGACATGTGTCAAGCAGACGCGAAATGGCGACAGCGAGGGCCGATGCCACGCCTGCAGTGCCTTGTGCCCCAGCCGAAGTTCAGCCCCTCTGCCCGTGGTGCCCATGGAGCCCACACACCCGCTGTGGGTTGCCCAGGGTTACAAGTGACTGGTGCTTAGGGGGCTGATTTGCAGGCTTGAAACCTATGCGTCAGGAGGGTCACCTGAGCTTCGGACTGACGAGCAGCAGGGACAGAGCGCCTGCCGCGAGAGCTCAGGCGCAGAGAGTCTGCAGGCGGGCGTCGCCACGTACACGTGGGGGGGGGGTCAGACTTCGTGTCCCCCACGTGACTTGAACACTCATCTGCAGTGTGGCGCCTGCCCCTCACCCGCACGCTCGCCAAACCACTCAGAAGCACGCACTCAGCCACAGGGTCTGTGGTCCCCAGGCCACCCACCGAGAGGAAGCCCAGCCTCAAGCGGCAGAGGAAGCTGAGCAGCGCCCTGCTGAGCCTGTCCCGCAGCGTGCAGGAGCTCACCGAGGAGAACCAGAGCCTGAAGGAGGACCTGGACCGCATGCTGAGCAGCTCGCCCTCCGCCGCCTGCAGGAGGGGTAAGCCCTGCTGCTGCGCGCTCCGCCCGTCCTGGGTGTGGGGACATGAGCACACATGTTTCTTGTAGGGGTGACAGTGCGTCAGGGAGGGAGAGAAGCCAGCACATCAGAGGTGGGTTAGGCGGGGAAAGTGCTAGGGGCGGGGTGAAGGAGGCAGCTGTGGGGGTGCCCCTGTGAAGAGGGGAGGGGCAGCCCTGCTGAGAAGCCCTCGGGTCCAAGGGTCTGCCGGCCTGGCCAGCGGCCCTACGGTGGTGCCAGCCTGGGAGGGGGACCACCAGGCCACAGGAGATGGCCAGAGGGGCCTGCTGGAGGTTGCACAGAGGGTGTCCCTTACACGCCCCTGACCACCCCCAGGCTACTCGGAGTGGAGCAAGCCCCGGCTGCTGAGACGGGTCGCAGAGCTGGAGAAGGTCAGCATCACTGCCTGTGCTGGGGTGGTGGGTGAGGATGGGGACAGGCCGGTGCTCTGCTCCTGGACTCGGGCTGAACTGGGTGGCCCTAGTGTGCCGTGACACTGTCTGTGCGTCGGTCAGAAGGAGGACAGGACCTGTGGGCCACACCATGTCAGCACCGGGGCAGCGGTGGGTGCAGAGGGTCCCAGCACCTTCAGATGCCCAGCACCCTGTGCACACCTGGGCTGTGCACTGCCCGGTGTCATCGGTGGTGCCCTCACCGAGGAGGGGCACTCGGGTTCACAGGAAGCTCTGCTTGTGGACACACGGGGCGTTTGCTCCCGCCGGGCGGGTTTGCGAACTGTGGCCAGTCTGACTCCATGGCAGCAGAGTAACTGCACCTCCCCAGGGGCTGGGGACACACTCAGAGCTGTCACCTTGCAGGCCAAGCAGAGGCACCCAAGAGGGGCAGTTTCATGTATTTAGAGGCAGAAAATGGCGTGAGCTTCAATGCTTTCTGGTAGTTTCTAAACAAAGCTCATTAGGAGGAGGCGCGTGGCCCACTGGGGCCACATGTCTCTGGCCCAGGGGGCCAGCGCTGTGGGGACCTTGAGAGCCAGTGTCTAATGTGCTCCCGTGTCACCCCCAGACGGTCCAAGAGATGGAAAGCCCAGAGCCACATGCCACAGCAGCAGGCCAGCCGGGCCCTCGGGCCCTCTCCGCGTTCAGCTGCTCGCCACACCCGCTGCCCAGAGCTGAGGACAGTGAGAGTCTCCGGAACGCTGTGAGCAGCCTGCAGGGCGAGCTGCAGGAGCGAGAGTACGTGCGCCCCCCCCCCCCCGGGCCCGGGCTGCTGAGGGTGCGGGGTCACGGGGTCAGGCTGGGGAGCCGGTCCACTTGCAGTGGGAACCGTGTCTGTGTGTGTAGGTGATTCCAGAACCAATATTCTGGTTATAAAGTAAAGGCAGTTTGTGTGGTAAAAGGACGACGTCAGTTGGCCATGTTACATCACTGAAAAGTGGTCATTTAAGTCTCTTCCCCCTGACTTCTGGAGGGGTTTCCGAATTCTTTTTTGGGTCTTGTGCAAAGATTCAGTAAATGTGATTATCACATTGTAACGTTGTGACGTCAGTGCTGTGAAATGGTCAGCGTGACCCTAAGGGTTCGAACGGCAAAGCCTCATGACTTTTGCTTGTACTTTGCTCTCCGGTACCTTGATCAGGTGCCCACCCAAAGTGCACCCGCCTCCTCCTCCTGCTGGCAACTTGGGGCTGCTCTCGGTTCAGTTGTCACGAGGAATCTAAAGCCCCGGGCCTTCTAAGACCATGTGTCCCAGAACCTGCTACTCAGTGATGGTCAGAGGTGCCCGGGCTCTGCGTTGGACCTGGGAGCCCAACGCACCGGCATCTGCAGGCCTTAGGGGGACCCCCTAGCTGAGCAGTGGGTGGAATTCCCTGCTACTGCTGCTGCTGCTGCCGCCGCCAGCCTTACAGTGGAAGGCCAGACCCTCCACTCTGGCTGGTCCTTCCCCGGGAGTCAAAGCTAACAGTGGGTCTATGGGATTGATGGGTTCTTCGTAAAAATGAGTGTTTCAGGGAAAGTTTTAAAACTCAGGCTAGGCACTTGAAAAGAAAGTCACATCTCAGGTGACCCTTTACGCCACCCCTGTGTGGCAGCAGCTCTGTGTCTGGCCCCCCCCCACCCCGCTGTGGTCCCTGCTCTGCTGGCCACTCCACAGTTGTGGCTTTCTCCACATGGAGGTTCCCAGGACCCTGGAGAGTTCAGAGCTGAGCTCAGACAGAGGTTTCCTTTTAAAGCCACATTCTTGGCCACATGTCACCTGTGGGACCTGGAGAGCCCCTCATCCTCAAGGCCTCAATTCCAGCAGCCCCACCACCCAGGCCACGTGACCCTCCAGGGCACTCACCCAGGACCCGGGCTGGAGACCCAGCTGTGTGACTGTGGGGCAAGCCCATCCCCAAGAGACTAAGGTCATGAGAGCAGGGCCACAGCGAGTCTGTATTCGCCACGTGTCCCCTGCGCCCCTCTGTGCTGGCACCCGGCCAGCGGGTGCTCAGTGTCCCCCGGGTCTGTTCCTGGCTCCTCCCCAGCTCTGCGCCTGGGCCTGAGTGCTCTGCCTGCTCCGTGGCCCGCGGTGTGACCATGGCCCTCAAACGCTCTGCTCTGTGCTCAGTCTGGAGGTGAAACAGCTGCTCCAGGCGAAGGCCGACCTGGAGAAGGCGCTGGAAGACCTGCAGGAAGGAGAGAAGGCGAGGAGAGAGAGGGAGGAGGTTCTGAGGTAAGCAGGGGTCGGCATCACGCAGGGCACCCACGACCCCCGCTCCTCCCACACCGCGGGCCTGCTCCTCCCACTCGGCCAGGCTGGGGGGCCGGTGCAGCGCCTCCCCTGTACGCCTGCTGTGCCCACCACTGACGCACAGCCGGCCTGGGTGCCCCTTCCCTCCTCGGGACAGTGCCTCACACCCACCGCACAGTGCCATTGTCCACGGCAGCCCCAGAGCTGGAACCACTGGAGTGCCCGTCAGCTGACACGTAGATTGAAAACACGGAGTGTGTTCGTACACGGAGTAAAAGGGAGCACCGCTCGGACATGTTCCTCTGCAGGGCTGAGCCTGGCCAGTGGCGCCTGAGGGAAGCCAGCAGGAGAGGCCGCGCGCCGTGTGTTGTGTGCTGGCCACCGTCCAGTCAGGCCACGCCACAGGGACAGGAAGTAGAGCAGAGGGTACCAGGGGTAGGCAGGGGGCGATTGAGACTGACTGAGTGCTGCAGGGCTCTGTCTGGGGGCAACAGGCAAACCATCGACGGTTCTGGAATTAGCCGGCAGTGATGGCTACCCAACATCACGAATTGACTGAATGCCACGGAATGGTATACTCTAAAATAGTAAATTTTATATCAATAAAAATGCCCCCCAAAGTAGATTAGAAGTCTGAGCAGAGATCTTTAGCACTCAGAATAATTAGTAAGGTTATAAACTAAACCCAAACTTTCTTTAAAAACTATATTTTATTGACTTTGCTATTACAGTTGTCCCATTTTCCCCCCTTCACTCCCCTCCACCCTGTACCCACCCTACCCGCATTCCCCCTGTTGTTCATGTCCGTGGGTCGTACATGTAAGTCCTTTGGCTTCTCCATTTTCTATACTATTCTTAACTTCCCTGTCTATTTTCTACCTATCATCTATGCTACTTATTAGAGAATAAGTACCTTTTCCCCCTCTCTCCCCCTCCCTGCTGATAACCCTCCATGTGATCTCCATTTCTGTGGTTCTGTTCCTGTTCTAGTTGTTTGCTTAGTTTGTTTTTGTTTTTGGTGTGGTTGTTAATAACTGAGTTTGCTGTCATTTTACTATTCATATTTTTCATCTTCTTAGATAAGTCCCTTTAACATTTCATATAATAAGGGCTTAGTGATGATAAACTCCTTGAACTTGACCTTATCTGGGAAGCACTTTATCTGCCCTTCCATTCTAAATGATAGTTTTGCTGGATAGAGCAATCTTGGATGTAGGTCCTTGCCTTTCATGACTTGGAATACTTTCCATCCCCTTCTTGCCTGCAAGGTCTCTTTTGAGAAATCAGCCGACAGTCTCACGGGAATTCCTTTGTAGGTGACTGTTCCCTTATCTCTTGCTACTTCTAAGATTCTCTGCTTATCTTTAATGTTGGCTAATGTAATGACGATGTTCCTTGGTGTGTTCCTCTTTGGATCCACCTTCTTTGGGACTCTCTGAGCTTCTTGGACTTCCTGGAAGTCTATTTCCTTTGCCAAATTGGGGAAGTTCTCCTTCATTATTTGTTCAAACAAGTTTTCAATTTCTTGCTCTTCCTCTTCTCCTTCTGGCATCCCTATGATTTGGATGTTGGAACATTTAAAGTTGTCCTGGAGGTTCCTAAGCCTCTCCTCATTTTTTTTCAATTCTTATTTCATTCTTTTCTGATCGAATGTTTCTTTCTTCCTTCTGGTCCACACCATTGATTTCAGTCCCAGTTTCCTTCATGTAACTGTTGGTTCCCTGTACATTTTCCTTTATTTTACTTAGTGTAGCCCTCATTTTTTAATCTAATTTGTGACCATATTCAACCAGTTCTGTGAGCATCCTGATCACCAGTGTTTTGAACTGTGCATCTGATAGGTTGGCTATCTTTTTGTCATTTAGCTGTATTTTTCCTGGAGCTGTGATCTGTTCTTTAATTTGGGCCTTGTTTGTTTGTTTCCAAGGGCCTGTTATGTAGTGAGGGGTAGAGCCTTAGGTGTCACCAGGGTGGGTCAGCCCAGTCACTGGGTTGTGATGCTGTATGTGGGGAGGGGTCTGAGAGGGAACAATGCCACTTGCTCAGCTCTCTGCTGAATTTCAGTCACTTCTCACAAGCAAACTGGGCCCCTCTGGTGCTGATTCCCGGGTGGGTGGGTTTGTGTACATTCTAGGACCCTGTGGGTCTCCCCAACAAACTCTCCTGTGAGGCTGGGAGTCTCTCCTGACACAACCCCCACGGGTATTTTCAATCAGAGCTTTGAGGCTTTATTTCCCTGGGCTGGGGTCCTGGGTGGTTCAGTCTGCCTCGCTCCCCAGTTCTTCCTGGTTTATCTGCACGTGAATGTGGGGCCACCTGCTCCACCAGGCGCTGCTGCCCGTCTCCACCCCGCCACTGGTCTGGGCGAATGTTTCTTCTTTAAAAACCTTGGTCGTCAGACTTCCATACCGTTTGGTTTTCTGTCAGTTCTGATTGTTTTTGTTTTTAAGTTGTTGTCCTTGTGTTGGTTGTGCGAGGAGGCGCAGTGTCTGCCTGTGCCTCCGTCTTGGCCGGACCGAAACACAAGCCTCTGTTTGCAGAGGAGACAGATTAGGTTTGGTCGGAAAGGGCAGGTGCGCAGCGAGGACCTGTTTGCTCTGCCTTTAAAGCCTGATGGAGGACACGGGTTTCCTCCGCTCATCTTGTGTATTTCAACCACCCCAGTCCCCGTCCGTCACCCACGCAGCCAGCAGTTTCAGTCCCTATCAGGTGCAGGTGTGTTGCTCGGAGACCCCCAGTCCAGGCCCAACACCTGCCCGGTGCTCCCATCCAGAGGGGGCACAGACGGCAGATGTCGCCCTGCGTGCCGTGGGTGGCAGCCAGGCCCCCCACCCTGGGAGGGGTGCCCTGGCCAACTCTTCAGGCTGCCGTCCCCACTGTCACACAAAGACATCTCATGCAGTGTGGTGACAAGTGACGTGCCACCTTTTCCCGCCCCACATCAGAGAGGAAATTCGAGTCCTGACCAAGAAGTTCCAAGACCTGGAAGCAGCGAAGAAGGAAGAGGAGGGCGGCCGCGTGGGGCTGGCCCCTGAGGTGCGGTCCCCGCTCCCCACAGTGGGCAGATGGTGCCGGTTTCTCCTCGGGGTCAACCAGTCCGGTTGGATCCAGAGCACAGCCTGTGCCCTGGCAGGTGGCGCCTGCTGCCTTCCTGGACGTGGGGTCACCCTTTACACTTCGAATTCCTGCAGGCCCAGGAGCAGCCTCAGCCTCCCTGTCCTGCTGGCAGTCCCTCTCGGCAGCACTCAGAGCCCGAAGCCGGCGGGGAGGACTTGCCCCAGCCCCCGGGTACCTTCAAGGAGGGGCAGAGACATGCGGCCGCCCTCGCCCTGCAGGCCCGTTGGAAGGTGTACAGACGGCAGGTGAGATGCCGGGCTGCACCAGCAGGGTGGTGCTTCGTCGCTGCCCAGCAGCAGAGACCACTCTGTGCCGGCTGCTTCCCCGACCCTCCCTCCCCAGGCTCCTGCGATGGGCAGGCTTAGCGGTGGGTATGGCAGGCAGCACAGGGGAGTGTGTGGAGAGACAGAACAGACAGACACCCCACCCGGAAGCACGTGGGGGTGTGGGGCCCCGGGGGGGTGAGTTCACTCCTCCCGAGTTCACTCCTGACTTCCTGCCGAGGCACAGCGTCCCCTCCCCGGGACTGTGGCCAGGCAGGGTCAGAAACGGACATTGTTGTGAAGCCCTCACCCTCACGTTGATTGTGATTTCTCTTTATTTCAGAAGGAAAAGGCCACGCTGGACGAGGTAAGCAAGGTTCGATTCCCCAGCTTCACAAAGGCGTGTGGGGGTCTCAGGAAGTGGTTAAGTGTTTGTCTTCCCGGAGTCAGGCCAGACCCCAGCACTGAGTGTGAAACCCGTGAGTGACATTGACCTTGAATAAACACTTGGGTGACTCACGCCTCCCCCGGTGCACTCAGTCACTCACTCGTCAGCTCCGTGTGAAGTGCCCTGCTGACCCTCGGATGCGGGCGTCCGGACAGACGGGACAGGTCCTCAGAGTTCAGGGGAGCGTGTGGCTGGGGCTGCGTGCGGCCCTGGCTCTGGGGCAGGCCTGGGTGTCCCTGTGGCTGCCGCTCCATCAAGGCAGTGACAGTGAGCAGGGCCTCTCAGGACCAAGGACGGAGAAGAAGGGCATTCTGGGTGGAACATTGTCACAAGTAAAGCTGTGGACACAGGGCTTGCAGGTGAGTGGGGAGCAGGTCTGTGCGAGCACAGAAGCAGAGTGGACAGCAGGTGGCGCCGATGGCTTTGGCCTGAGGGACAGCACGGGCCTGAGCCAGGGCTCCTGCCCTCCTGCCGCCTCTCCCCAGCAGCCACCAGCGTGATACTTTCAGATGCTAACTAACACCGCCCTGCTGGTCCCTAAGGACCCTGCACTCCCAAGACCCCTTGACTCGCTCCATCCGGAGGCACCTCTGGCCTCACGGGGTCAGGCACATCTCTGCCCCAGGCCCTGGGCACACACCGCCCCACCCCCCGAGGCCCCTGTTCCAGAGTGTGCCTGTCCTGCTCCCTGGCTTCATCGGGGGTACCCCTCTGAGCCCCTGCCCCTCCCAAGCCTGCTCCGCCGTGTATCCTCAGGGCAGGTGTTCTCCCTCATAAGTGCCCTGGAGCAGGGCCATCTGTCCACTGCCACTGAGTCCCGTTACCAGAGGCACCTGGCATGCGGTCGGTGCCTGGTGCTGACCAGGCACTGGCCACATGAGTGAGGCTGGGACCGACAGGCCCGTAGAGTAAGCTTCTGAGCAGGTTCTGCCGTCCCCTTCCGCCCCCTCCGGAAGCCCCAGCCTCCTTGCCCTGGAGGCCCCATGGGAAGACCCCCAAGTGGGGCTGTCGTGAGGGCTCCCGGACAGTCTGGGCCTGAGTGTGGCTTCTGTCCTGCTGCCTGAACAGCACCAGCCCCCTCGCCTGCGCTGACATTCGCTGCAGCTTGCCGACCCCGGCGAGAACTCCTGGCTTTGTACAAACACCCGTCTGTTCTCGCCGTCCTTATTCTTTTTTTTTTTTTAGATTTTACTTATTTATCTTTTAGAGAAGAAGGCGAAAGGGAGAGAAACATCAATGTATGGTTGCCTTTTGTGCGTCCCCTGCTGGGAACTGGCCTGCAGGGAACCGGCCTGCAACCCAGGCATGTGCCCTGACTGGGAATTGAACCATGATCCTCTGGTTCGCAGGCCTGTGCTCAATCCACTGAGCTACACCAGCCAGGGCTTTTTTTTTTTTTGAAGATTTTATTCGTCCTTGTTCTTTAACCACGAGTCTGTATCACTGGGCCTCTGGGAGAAAACAGAGGCTCTCTCTGGGCAACTGCGGTCCTGAGGCGTCCAGACCACTGAGGACTCAGTGTGCCCAGCAGCCTGGCCGGGGGCCACAGTCCTGTTGGCCGTGATGCTCCCACCTGCAGGGGCCGTAACCGCATCAGGCCCCAGCTGCCCCAAACTCGAGCTGTTGGTCTCGGGCCCCACGTGGTTACAAAAACTGTGACGGCGTGAGGCCAGGGCCCCCGTGTGACTTTCCGAGGTGGAGGCGGAGGGTCCGCAGTGGGACGAGGCCCCGGTGTGAGCCCTGCTGGTGGCTACAGCTTGGGCTCGTGCCCAGGACGCAACCCGACAGCCCAGCAGACAGCTCCGTCCTGCTCCAAGACGCAGTCTGCAGGGCCTGGCGTCCGAGCCTCTTCCCCCCAGAGGGTGTTGTCTGTGGCTGTTGGAGGTTCTGGGGCCCGAGGGAAGAGGCGCGTGTGCGTCCCCATGACCGAGTGGCGCACAATGTCCGTTCTCTGCTGCCACGACTTTCCCGCAACCTGCGCCTGCCAGCCAGCTGGGAAATCCACACCCCCTCTGTCCTCTCTCTCTGCCAGGCGGCCACTGTGCTTCAGGCAGCTTTCAGGGGACACCTGGCAAGAGCGAGCCTGTTACTGAGCAAATCTAGCCCACCCAGTCTCCCAAGCCAGGTAAGCCTCCGGGGCGGGATTCAGCCATCAGCTTCATCTGCCCAGGAAAGTGGCCCCTCCTGGCCTCTGCCCTGCCTGCCTTCCATACCCTGGCTCCTCACGTCACACCTGGGGCCTCCAGACCTGTGGCCTCCGGGCCCAGTGACTTGGAGGTGCTAGAGGATCGAGCAGCAGGCCCACCTTGCAATAAGACGGAAGCTTAAAAATGTAACACGGACCAGCGCTTCCCATAGCAGCCTGAGAAAGTGATGAGGTGTCGGCTGAAGGGTCTCGGGTCTGGGAATTGCGGCCCTGCAGTCAGGAAACTGCCCACCAAGTCGTAGCGAGGCGAGCCTCCTGTACCGGACTGCACCCTCCCCTGGTTCCCCGAGGTCCAGGGTGTTGCCAGGCAGCACTGGAGGGCGGCGGGGGGCCTCACGGGGCTCCTGTGCCCCTATGGCTTTCCTGCAGAACTCTCCCACGCCTCGAGTTCCTAGCCCCACTGCCCAGGACAAGGGCGACCCAGAGCAAGAGGCAGCCATCACCCTCATCCAGTCAGTCCTCCGGGCATACCTGGCACGGGCCGGGCACAGGTAAGCTGATGGGCAGACCCCGCACTGCTCTGCACCCCAGGGGGTGCCCCAGCGGGTGGGCTCAGGGGGCGAGAGCCAGGTCCTCTGCCTGCGTGTGGCCAAAACAAAAGGTGCACCTCGTGAGAAATTTCTCCGTGCCGTGGCAGGGAGGGGTGACCGTGTCCTGGCCCTGTGCGGAGGGACAGAGGGCTGGATGCTGGGTTGCCGGTGGAGCCCAGTGTGTGGACCACCAGCCTATCCGCATGTGCCGCCCCTTTCTAAGGGTCAGCACCACCAGCCAGGCCCGTCCTTCAGGCCAGACTCCCGGGTGGCAGTCGCTCAGAGTGCCACCACAGTGACCATGGTCCTGATGTGGCGGGCGGGGGGACCCACAGTGAGGCTTCAAGCACCGCATGCAGGGCTGGCACCTGCACCCTGGGAAGCTCAGCCCCTCCCAGGCCCACGTGCCGCTGTCCCGCCTCCGCAAACCTGTTCTTGGCCTGCACGGCGGACAGCAGCGCCACTGTTGGTGAGCCCGCAGCACTGCTCTGCAGAAGAGCCACTCAAGTCAGAACCACTCAAGTCAGAACCACATGGTCCCGGTTCTGTCTCACCATCATGAGGTCCCTTGGTGCCCGGGGTGGACAGTGGCGGGCCTCGACCACTGAGACACCACTAGAAGAAGGTGTCTGAGGCCTGACCTCCGAGAGTGTCTGGGGGCTGGCCGAGGACACGGCGTGGCCCCCACACAGCTGACCTGAGCCAGGACATTGGCTTCGTGGGCGTGGGCAGCCGGCTGCCAGATCCGGCGTCACCGCTCTGTCCGTTCCCCAGTCCCAGGACTCGCGCCACGGCTCCTTCAAAGAGGTCGGCTGCTTCGGCCACACACTTCAGGACCGCCTCTCCACCCACCGCTGCCGCTCCCGCTGGTGAGTCCCTGTCGTTGTGGCCATCGGTGCTGGGGTCAGCGCGCCCTTTGAGGCTTCAGCCAACACAGCTGCCACCGTCCCCAGAGTGTAGATGTGTGAGCGTGTGGGAGGGCTTGTCCCCTCTGGGGCCACCCACAAATCAGGAACTTCGCTGGGAGACGCCTGTGCCCAGCCTCCCTGTCACAGCTCCGTCCTCTGTCCCTCAGGTCTTAGGAGAAACAGGCACAGCTCACAGAGCTGGAGGCAGTGGCTGTCAGTGACGTGGGCGGTTCCCGCTGCCACCTGCAGGCCGGCCACCCAGTGGAGCTTCAGGGCTCCGTGACTTGGTTCTCCACTCTAGCTGGGCTGTGCGGTTCCCTCCCTGGGCCAGAGCTTTCCCCATGGCTGGTTTTTTAAGTAAAACTTGGCTCCTCTTTCCTTTTCCCATCCATTAAGTTCCAAAATTGTCACTGGAGACACCTGGTGTGGCCGACACTGCACACAGTTGTGGGGCAGGTCCCAGCCCTGCCCAGCTCCCTGCAAGGGGCCGGGGCCAGTGTCCTCGAGTCTGGGGCTCTGTGACTGTCCCACAGGTCCGCGCTGGTGGACACAGAGTGGCACAGGGACAACGTTGAGATCTGAGACCCTCACTAGACTGAGAACACAGCCTTGTGGTCTCGGCTGTGAAGGGGCCACTTGGGGACGCTGTTGTCACAGCGCCTGGAGGTTTCCCAGGGAGCTCTGTTCTGTGCTGCATTCTCAGTGGAGCGTGTACCCCGAAGGGGCCGGGCAGGTGGGGAGCAGTGCTTTGGCTCGAGGAAAAGCTGCAAAAGGGAGCAGGTTGTGTGGGGTGTGGCTTGGATCAGTTGCAGGCGGGATGAGGTGAGGCAGTGTTTGTGTACCCCGAGAGGTGACCTCCTTGGAGCGGGTCGTCTGAACCAGAAATAGGGGGGCAAGCAGTGGCCGTGACAGGCCCATGCAGGCCTGGCACCGGCTCCGCAGACCGTGTGCATCTCATCCAAGTGTCCTTTCAGGTCGGGAAGGCAGCAGCGTAAGCCCTGGGGTCACCGTGAGGGGACCAGCTGCCAAGGCTGGGGGGCCGAGACCGTGGAAGCCAGAGACACCGGCAGCCCCGAAGCCCTGCAGCCCTTGTGAGTGAGGTCTCGGGGCAGGAGGAGGAGGGGCCGGGGGTGGGGGGCAGGCCTGCTCGGTCTGCACCAGCCCAGGTCTGGGCCTGACTCACCCGACCTCACCACCTGTGAGATCGAGTTTAATCCACTGCAGCCATTTCTTCTAGCTTTGTCCAAGCTGGTGGGCTTTGAACTCTGATTTTTACCCCAAACCCTCCACTTGTAAAGCCCAGCGGACCGAGATGAGCAGTTTGGGGACCTCAGGGACAGTGGGCACAAAGCCCCAGCCCCGGCAGGAAGCCAGGGGCTCCCCGAGGCCTAGCAGACCCAGCACAGTGGCCCCGCGGTCCTGAGGTCGGGGCGGTGCGTCTGCGGACCGGCCTCCCGTACGTGGACACGGCATAAAGGCAGCCTCACTCCACCACCCGGGAGCCGGGCCTGCGTGCCGGTGCCTATCGGGCCCCGGGTCCATCTGCTGCTACCAGAGTGTTTCTGAAGAAAAAGCCTGACGTGACCTGAAAACTGATGTTGTTAATTTCATGTTTCCCTTCTAGTAATTGTCTTGAAAGTTACAGAAAAGAAGCCAATCCAATTAGAGTATCAGCAGCATGATGAGTCTTAACTTTAATGTCCTTCCCTTTTTTAACTCAAATCTGGGGTTGGTCACTTTGTTCCTCTTATCTTCACGGAGCCACCAGAGCGAGGTCCTTGCCGGTGGCTGCCGACACCCAGGTTTTGTCACAAGGTTTCGCTTTTAGAAAAGGCCCCAGTTCCCAGGCGAGCTTGCACACCAAGGTGGGCGTGACCAGGAGGCAGTGAGGGTCCAGTTTCCAGGTCCGACCATCCTGGACCCTCTGGGGCGTGACCCTGGGCCTGCCAGGGAGAGCCACACTCGCGGCACCTGGGGCGTCTGGTGGGACCCACCCTTCTCTCTCTGGTTCCTTTCAGCCACGTCCCTGCCCACAGGGTGGCCACCCCTGGTGCTTCCACTTGCGAACGACATCTGCTCCAGCGACTCCGACGACTCCGACGAGGTTGTCGTGGCTCCACGACTGACCCTGAAGAACGCCACCCGCCCGCCCCCCGCCCTGGGCCCCCGTCAGTGCAGCTCCCTTGGCGATGCCCTGTCTGGGGAGGGGTAGGCTGAGCAGATGGTCACGCTGAAGGGCAGTACCTGTGCCTGCCCTGAACCACAGCTGGGCCTGTTCGTTTGTGGGAGGAACCCGAGTGCCTGCGTCTCATCTCGGGGGAGTGTCTGTGGTCCCACCAGCCCCTGGTCTCCCATGCTGACACGTCGCCGCAACCGGAGGGGCAGCCAAGGAGCCCCAAAGAGACGTTTCACAGCAGCTGGCAGCCGCCTGACCCATCACCCAGAAAACAGTTGAGCCAGGCCTAGTCTGTCCCATTGTTTGGTGTTCCTCTGCCCGCTTCCCCCACTGGACTGACTGGGAGTTTGGCCGACGTGGGTGCTGACCTGTGCCTGGTGTCATCCCCTGGGCCAGACCCAGGCAGCCCGACCCACCCTGCGCTGGGCGCCAGGCTCGGAGTGGAAGGTCCACGGGAGCCAACCAGAAAGCACGGGGCCGCAAGCCTGCGTGATCCTCGTCCACGACCAGGCGGTCTGCGATTCTGTCCTCCCAGGGAGCCCCAGGCTGTGTGTTCTGAAGGCAGGGCCCTGCTCCAGAGGGGCGGGCAGCTGTGTGCGACGTCCGGGCTGGCCTGCTCTCTAAGACCTGCGGGGCCTGGCCAGCGCGGCACTGAGAAGGACAAGATGAGCCTGTGGGTCTCCCGAGAAGGTGCCCCTGTGCCGTGGGAATACGCACATCCACCGTGCCCCGGCGTCTCCTGCAGCCCAGCACAGAGGGCCTCTTAAATGCAGAGCCTTGAAGCTACCTCTATAAACGACATAAACCGGGTAACTCTGGCCAGCCGACATCCAGTGTGCACCCCTGGGAGCCTCAGACACTGCACTAGCTTGGCTCCAGGCCTGGGGTTGGCCTTCCCCTGGGCCAGCCAGGCTGGCCCCACATTGCACTCAGGCCCCCAGGTGGGTGCAAGGCCCAGCATGGGACAGGGCCAGGGGTGTGAGCAGGGCGTGGGGCAAGCTTTCGGGGAGCAAGGCTCTGGGAGGTGGCAAGGCCGAGGTCCCTGGGGAGACTGGAAAGGGAAAAGTGACCTTGGAGAAGGGACCGCAGCCTCAGGCATCAGTGCCCAGAAGGCCAGGTCCTGCGTGTCTGGGTGCGGCCTGCTGGGCCTGACTCGCCACAGTGCCTGCACATCCCGGGGACAGGACAGCAGAGCACACCTGTCTCATCCCAATACCCAAAACCGGCAGTGACCAGGTGTGGCTGCTGGGCCTGGCCTCCTGAACTGCAGGTGGGCAGCAGGCTGCTGCGGGGTGGGGGGACACCTGTTCCCACCCCCCACCCAGCTCCCATCTGTGGGCGGGTGCCAGCCGGGAGTGGGCTGCTAGACTCAGCAGGCAGAGGAGAGGATGAGGCCACGGTGGGAGTGGGTGTGTCTCAGGAGGGTCCCGGGCTGTTGGTGCAGGTGCAATCTCTAAGAGTGAGGGGCATGGCTGGGAGCTGCCCCTGGGGGGGATGTGGCAAGGGGCAGAGGGCCACAGGATCATCACTGTGGGGAGCAGAGCTTCTGCAGCCCGGTCCCTGTGTGCAGTAAGGAGGGACTCCAACGGGGCCCTGGCCATCCAAGCTGCGCTGTCAGGCGAGTGTCAGCCTGAGTCTTCGAGGTCCTCGGGAGGGAGTGGTCCTGGTGTCAGGAAGAGGTAGACCACCAGGCTCAGCCGTGCAGGTGGCAGGGCAGGACGGTCAGGCTTCCTGTCCACCGAGCCCCTGCCGGTGCAGGACACCTGCCAGCCACCCCAGTGAGACCCAGCTGGGCTTGCTGGGAGCCCCTCCCATGTCTGGAAGCCCTGGTTCCCCCTGCTCGTCACTGTTGGCCTGCACAAATAAAGGTGGTTCTGCAGCGCATTCATCACAATCGCCCCTCAGCATGGCGGCTTCCTCTCCTTCCAGGTGTGGACCGTGGCCACCACGCTCACACGTCACTTGCTGGGCCCCAGGCCATGTGCTGGCTCTGTTTGGCTCCAGCCTCAATGCACAGCAGCTGCCTCCTTGCATAGACCTGGCTCCTCTTGACACTTCCGTCCCTCCAGCTCCCCCCACCCCTACCAGTGAGGCCTTGAGCATCAGGAAAGGGAGATGGGGGTTTTCCCCGATCCTGTTTCTCATCTGTTTTAGGGTCAGGGATTGAAGGATCTGCTCAGGAATCACCCACAGACACCAGCAATAGGCAAAGCTGATTTCTGGGAAACCTGCAGCCACTCTGTCCAGTTGCTCCGGTCCCAGGAAGGCCTGCTTCCCAGCGCCCTGCTGTGCAGGAGGAGGTGTTTGTGGCCTCGCCTGCTAGTGCTACAGGCCTGCCCCTTTCGCTCCTCTGTGGCCACAGACTTGCTGAGCCCATCCTGGCAGGCTGATCATGTGCTGTACCTGCCTGGGGTCCATCAGAGGACTTGGTGCTTTGCAGAGGGGCTGTGGGGCTTTACAGGGTCTGTGGCAGTGGGGAGAGGGGCACCTCAGAGGCCCCAGACAAGCCCGCCACTCAGCCTCCTGAGGCTGGGGCCCAGGAGCAGAGTGTGGCACCAGGAGGGGGTGGGATCGATGGGTGCTGGCCAGTGGAGACTGGGGTGAGGTCCAGCCTCGGGCCTGCGCCCAGCGAAGGCAGGCCTGCCTGTGAGTGTGGAAATAGGCTCGGTCTGCAAGGAGCCGTGGGCCTCCTCCCACACCGGTCACCCAGTGACCCAGGTCCTTGCCAAGGTGATGTAAGTGTGAGATTCCTTGAAAGTCACCAGGGAATACAGGGGGAAGGTCAGGGTCTGAACCCCGTTCCTGCAGCGCCGCCACTGGGTCTGCGTCAGGAGCGGAGGGGCCCGCAGCATGGGCGCTGGCCTCTGGCCTCTGGCCTCGCCTGCCAGCAACACTGTGGGAACTCAGTCCTGGTCCAGCTGGAGGGTGGCCCCAGCAGAGGCAGCTGCCTGGGCACCTGTGGGAAGTCTCCATGAGACTGGGTCCTTTCTGAGGGGGTGGGCGGTCCCCAAGCTGTGAGTCAGTTAAGCCCCAAAAGCCTGGGACTGATCCCCTCCAGGCCGCCCCGGTTCCGGGGCCAGGCCCTTTGGTCCTTCCTCTCCATGTTGCCACCCAGGTCCTAGGCCCACTGAACCTCCTCGCTCAGCAGGCCTCATGGAGGAGCGGTCAGGCTCCCTGCCCACCCAGCCTGGCCCACCTTCCCCTGTGCAGCCCTGCCCCGTCCCATCCCCGCCGCAGCCATTTCCAGAAACCCAAGGCCTCCCACCTCCAGTCCACCCCTCACACAGCTGTTCCCAGCCAGGAATGTCCTTTCCCAGAGCCAGCCCGCACGGCCCCACTGCCTAGAGGCTCTGGGACCAGCCCCTCTTTCTTTGTGCTCTCAGAGAGTGAGCTCATTCTGCCTGTTTTAATGTTTACCACACGTCCACAGTGTGCCTGGTGCTGCAGGAGGGGCGCTCTGTGCCCGATACCAAGGTTTGTTTTGCCTCTTTGCCAGCCTGTCTGCACGAGGCCGAGTGCCACGCACCCTGAGCAAATTCCTTCACCCAGGAAACATCCACCTGCCCAGGGGCGGGAACCTGCCCCCGATGGGGGGAGGCCTTGGACTAAGCACTCCCGCCTGCAAGTGGCCAGGCCGGAGAGGCCCAGGGACACAGAGTGGGCAGTGGCCAGGCCTCAGGAACATGCTCTCCCCCTCCCCTACCCCCCCCCCCGAAAAGGGAGAGGAACTGGTCAGAGGGGTGGGGAGGTGGGGTCTTCCTGGCCATTAGCCCCACCCAGGTCTTGGGAGGGAGGAGGAGGTTGTGTGGGGGCTGTTCGCCTGCTCTGGAGCTCAGCCTCACCCGGGAGCCGTGGGAGCAGGCTGCTGGCTGGAGAGTGACAGGCTTGCGTTTCAGGGGTGGGGGGGCTCAGTGGCACACTGGCAGGAGAGGGCCCCTCAAACGCTGCCTGCCCCCCAGTGCCAGAAGTCCAGGGAGGCTGGTCCCTCCTGGAGAGAGGAGAGTGCTGGGGCATCCCAGGTCCCTGAGGGAGGCCCTGCGGAGTGGCAGTTTGGCACTGGCCAAGGAGGGGTAGCCTCAGAGCGGGAAGGGGCATCTCCAGCCACCCACGCCCTCGGGCAGAGCAGGGAGGGGCGGCTCAGAGCTGAGTGTGGGGCAGAGGCAGAGGAAGATCCGTGTGGGCTTCTGCTCCCCCGTGCCTGCCCCGCAGCCACGCTGCAAAACAGGTTAAGGTGTGAGGGCACAGGAAGGGTTCTGTGCTGAGGGTCCCCACTGACTCCTGCAGGCCGCGCCCTGGCATGGGCCTCAGCGCCCCAAGTCTCCAAACCAAGGACTGAGGCCCGCCCTGTCTCTGGGCATCTGTGAGCCGGGGCCAGAGCCGGCCTGTCCCAGCCCGAGGAGCCCTCTGAGCACCCACTGAGGGCCGGGCCATGGCGACACCCACTTCCATCACGGCCTTGCTCCTGTTCTGACACCTGCCTGAGGGAGAGAGGAGGCAGAGAGGGCAGATAGGGCAACTTTGGACTCGGGCCCTTGGCCCTGGGAGCCAGGGCAGGGCGGTCAGGCCACAGCAGGGCCCCTTCCGTGGGGCGGAGACCAGGTGGGGAGGAGGAGTCCCGGGCAGAGGGCCGGGCCTCTCCGCCTGTCCTAACCCCTGGGGACCTTGAAGTGGATGTTGGGACAGCACTTCCAGGGCGCCTGAGGTGCTGGGGTGGGTGACCCTGAGTTACCCTGCCTTCCTGGACACGCCCCCCACGCCTCTGCCACACACACCAGTGAAACAGGCCGCCCCGGGGGGAGGCTTGTCAGAGCCTGACCCTGAGTCCTATCAGGCAGGACATGGGTCTCCTTCCTGATTCGGAGGGCAGAGGCTGGACCTCCATGCTGCCGGGCCAGGGTCTCCCCCGAGCCGGGGCCCCAAGGGTGGCACCAGCTCAGACTTTCAGCTCAGGGTCCCCAGCTGGTTGCTTCACCCTGAGCCTTCAGTTTCCTCCTCTGTGGGGCAGGGCCGGTTTGATGCCCAGTGGCCTGTGAAGCTGGGCCATGCGGCCCAGACTCTGGTGTGTGCTGTGTTTGTGCAAACGTCTGGGCTCTTGCACAGTCACCGTACTTGAGTAAGAGGAGCGACCCGATACCACTTCCTGCCCTCTGGTGCATCCGGATGGAACAGCGTTCAGTGGGGAAGTTGGGCCGTGTGCACGCCGCAGCGGACCCAGGGGCGACATGGGCTCCCAGCACTGGTGCCCACCGCAGCACTCCTAGCTACCTGGCTGGGCTGGGGGGTGGGCCAGAAGGAGGGGTTGCAGGGAAGCAGCTCTGAGTGGGAGGAGGGCGTCTCTGTGAGTCCTTTTTATGCCGGTCTCCTCTCCCAGCAGCCCTGGTTCACCTCCCTCGGGGCTGGTGCTGGATCCTCAGGGCTTGGGGCCCAGAGACCAGCCTCGCCAGTGCCGTGTGTAAGGCGGCTCTGAGAGAGCTAGGCTCTGAGAGAGCTAGGCGCTGGGGGCTAGGACTGGGGACAGACTCCTTGGCTGCTCGCTCAGAGGCCACCCTTGCTGGTTCGCTGTATCCAGGGGCTCCCTGGAGAGGCGAGGCCGCTGGCGTGGTGACCCCAGACAGGGAAGGCCACTCACATCTCCACTCTGTGGTCCTCTTGGGCACCAAGCCGGCTGGCGTCTCTCCCAGCCTCCAGAGCCACAGGGCTGGTTCCATTGTGGCCAGCAGTGCTCCGTGGTTATCCTGTGGCCAAGGCCCATGAGCCAGGGGTCTGCAGGGAGCAGGCATCGGGCTGGCTGCACGGCCACAGCTGGGCGGGCGCCAGGGAAACCCGGCCCCCAGCTTTCTCAGGAGCTCTATCTCCACGGAAAATATGAACCTCTTTGGATCAGGCCCAAAGGCAGGGGATTCCATTGTTCTGGCTTCCGCCCCAGCATCAGGGGGCCCAGCCCCCGCTGGCCCTTCTCCAGGCTCCCCCAGCTCGTGGGACTACGGCACAGGAGCCACAAACCAGCCACCTTCCTGGCCTGGGAGAGGGACCCTGGGCAGTGCCTGGCCTGCCCTCCCCCTCATTCCAGATGCTTCCAAGTTGCTCAGACCTCAGCACTCAGACTTTCTGATCCTTGCGCTTCCCTCAGTAGGAAGGGGAAGAAGAGCGAGGGAGGCGCTTCCCACGCAGCCCTCTCTGAGGGGGTGGGGTAAAACTCACACAAGTGTGTGAACCACGTGTGAGCTCACACCTCAGTGGCACTCGGCACAGTCACCCTGCTGCGCAGCCACCACTGCTCTCTACTCTGAAGTCTTTGGGTCGCCCAGAAAAGAAACGGGCCTTTTCACGGCTCGCAGTGTCCGCTGTGTGGCTGGGCCGCCGCTTGTTTCTCCGCTCAGCAGCTGGTGGGCACACCAGCTGTTTCCACCCTTCAGCCAGCGTGAACGGAGCTGCGGTGTCCTGGAGTGTCGCACGCATCTCACATTCCTGCGAGCTCAGCATGACTATCCGCATCTTAGCCGGGTCAGGGTAAAGCTCACAGAGGACCTGGGACGTGGGTATAGGTCAGGTGACGGGAACGAATGGACAAGCCCTGGTGGGTGCATGGACGGTGCCCAGGGATGGAGTGGGCATGCATGCTTCATTTCCACCCAGTCCCAGGGGGTGGGTGATTTTCTGAGCCTCACAAGCTCCCACACCACCCATCTGGGACCTGGGGACGTGGCTGGAGGTGGGAGATCGTGGGTTGGGCTCTCAGGCATCTGGCCCAGGGCTCTCAGCTGGTGACAGCCAGGGCTGCCCTTCCTGTCCCCTCAGATGGGCGGCACTCTGCCTGCCAGTCCCTGGGGCAGAAGGAATAAGACACCACAGCCCCTATCATCGCCTGGGGCTGCTTCCTTAGCTGGAGAAGGCCTAGCAGTTTCTCTTCCGACACCTCCTCCTGAGTCACCCCTGAGTCATCGAAGGCTTACTTACCCCTTGTGCCGCAGTCAGTGGCCAGCCATGCGGACTTCACTCTCTGTACCACAGGAGCTCCGACTTGCAGTTCAGGGACCGGAGCAAACGGGCTTCCCTGAGCTCACCCCGCAGCAAGCAATGGACCCCAGAGCCCCGGGTCCTCCTTGTCTCCTGGGAACACATGTTCCTGGGGCTTTTTAGTCCCATGGGGACTCCTTGCCAGCACCAGCTCCAAGCCCCAGCCGGTTTGGGGCTCAGGGACCCCCTATGGTGGCTCTGGTGGTGTTTTGCCAGAGCCATATGAGTGGCTCCCTCCTTTTCTCCACCTGCACCCCTTTATTACCGTTCCTTGTGGACCCCTTAGGAAAGGCCTCACTGACCGGGCACATTGTGAGTGTTAGTGGTGAGCTCCTTTGCTATTCGACAGCCCAGCTGAGCTCTCACCCAGGGAACCAGGTGAGTCAGGACAGGCCCTTGAGAAGCCACTGCCCAGAGCTGTCCCTGCCCACAAGAGCCCATCCTGGCCCAGCCTGCTGTGGGGGCTGCAGGAGCTGCGGGGGGGAGGCACTGTCTGCTCTCGGAGCCGGCTGAGCCAGGGCGCAGGTGTGAAAACCCATTTCTCAGAACCCAGGAGGTCCAGAAATAATTACCCAGGACACTGAGGAGGCAGAGAGCCAAAAGGACATACCTCCAGGTCCCGAGTGCTGAGAAAGGGGTGCAGCAAGGCCAAGCACCCACAGTGCTGCCAGCCTCTTCTGTCCTCAGGGCTCCATCTTCCCTTCACGAGAAAGAAGACGCCCTGGAAGGAAGGGTGGCCATGTGGCACTATGCCCGAGGGTGCCAGGCTTCCTCTTAGGTCTGGACCAAAGACAAAACCTTTCCCAATTGGAAGGCCAGGTGGGATCCAATCTCACCCAAGAGTAGCTTGGGTCCCCTTTACTGGGTCACACTTCTGTTACCAGTGAGGCAACAAGACCTGGGTTCCTCAGTCAGGTGACCAAGTGCAGTCAAGCAAGAATTTATCATCAGCAGCAAAAACCCCTCAGGACAGTGAAACAGGGAAGAACTCAGAGAAGCAACAGGAGGGCCTAGGCGGGGCTGCTTGAGCTCCTTGGGAAGCCAGAGATGAGGGGTCCTTGGAGACAGGGTCGGGGGTCTGTCAAGGACTGGCTGCCACTGCCCACTGCTCTCCTGGTTTCAAGTCTGGTGGGGTCCCGTAAAGTTGAGGAGGTGCGTGCCTGTGGCGGAAGGAGTGAGGGAAAAAGGAAAGGCGGGGCCCTGCATGCCGCCAGAGGGGGAGTGTGCTGGGCCCTTCGTCCTGAGGGTTTCTTTCTCTCTCTTGCAGGTGGGGAAGCTTAGGGAGGCTTCCAGGGAGGGTTCAGTAGAATATGGACCAGTTCTTCAGGCGAGCCCTTTTGGAGTCCTGGTCTTAGCTGATTGGTCGGAGCCTGGCATGGGGTCATTAGTCAGTGAAGCTGGTCCTGAGACAGCTATGGGGCCGCTTGTCTGGTTTTGCTGCTTTTCTGGGCCTGGAGCTGAAGTGCAAGGGAGGCCTCACTGTTATCCCTAGGGGTCACTGTGTAAGGGAGTGAACCCAAGCGAAGGCCTCATGGGATCACGTGACTCCATGCTTCAGCCCCTTGTTCCTCCCCCAAGGGGGTCTACCGTAGGACTAGCGACAGGTCAGGGGAGGAAAGGTTACTCTGGGGCACAAGGGCCTTATTGTTCCAGTTTTGCCCCTTGCTAGGCACCCTGGTGACCTTCTGTACCTGGCCCACTGTCCTTGCTCTGCTCATGTCAAATTGCCTATCATACTTTGAGCACTTTACACGCATTGTTGTTCCCTTTTACAGACGAGGACATTGATGCACAGAGAGGTTAAGTCTCTTGCCTAAGGTCACACAGCTGTAGGTAAGCATGCCAGGGTCTGAATCCAGATCATCCTTATTTTCCAGACAGGCCACTGGGTCCATTGCTGCGGGCCCCCACCAGCCTAGCCGCGCCAGGCCGACCCCCAGAGAAACTTAATGAATGGGCAATGGTGGAAACGACGAGTGACAGCCTCGGTGAGGTGCAGCCAGCGCTCGGACCCTGGCCTGGTTTGCAGAAAGGGACAGGGCACGGATCCTCCTGGCTTCCCCTGCCTAGCGCCCCTCGGCCGGAGGGCGGAGCCACTGGTGGGCGGAGCTTTACCCAATGTACCAATGGCGGCGCTGGGCGGAGTTAGATAGCGGGGTGGGGCTAGTTGGAGCGGTGGGGTCTTCGGGTAACAGGCCAATGGCAATTTGGGGGCGGGGCGAAAGCGGGCGGGGGCGCGCGGAGGCGGTGGCGGCGGTGAACAAAGAGGCGGCGGGCACGGGCCACCGAGAGAAGCCGAGCGCAGCCGAGCGCAGCCGAGCTGGGCCGATCCGGGCCGGGCCGGGCCCAGGAGCGCGCGGGCTATGCGGGCTGCCAGGCCGGGGTCGACGGGCCCCTGAACCCGGCGCCCCGGACCAGCGAGGAGCCCAGCCGCGGCCGCGCGCCCGAGGCGGCCGGCCCGCCATGGCCGGGGTCAGCTACACGGCGCCCTGGTGGGTAACCCTCCTGCACCGGCTGCCGCACTTGAACCTGCGCTGGGAGACCACCAGCAGCCAGTTCCGACCCGAGGACACAGACTACCAGCAGGTGACGCGGGCCGGGTCGAGGGTCAGGGTCCCAGGTCATGGCCCTTTTTTTCAAAGGTCTAAAGACACCCCTCCCCCATCGAGGGTCACAGCCCTCCTCCTTGTGGGTTGCCTGCCCCCTCCACGAGGGTCGCTGTCTCCCTCCCTTTTGAGGGTCTTAAGACGCCCCACTTTTCATCACGAGTCATTGCGGCCCCCCCCCTTCTTGAGGGTCTTCTCCTGGGTCATGGCTCTCCTCTTTCAGGGTGGTAAGGACACTGGCTCCCCTATTGAGGGTCCACCGCCCTCCTGCCTGTTCTAGCCTCCTTCTGGTGCTGCTTAAGGCCCTCTTTTCTGGGGTCCTGTGGAGCCACCTCCCTCCCCTCTGTGGAGCCCGCTCTGCCAGCTGTCAGCTCCTGCCCAGGCCCCTGTCCATCACAGGGGCTGTGTGGGGGCTGGGAATGGGGTGGGGGGTAGGAGGTTGTTGCCAGACAGAGCCCCCTGCCCATAAGGCCCTGCAGACCTGCTTGGCTGCCAGGCTGCCAGGCTGTGGGAGGCACACACAGTGCAGTGTGCCTCTGGTGATACCTGGCCTGCCTGGGACTGTCTGCCAGGATCCCCTGAGGGACACAAGGGACACAAGGTAGGCCACCACCTGGAAGGCTGGAGGGGGCTGAGCCTGTGCAGAACCAGGGGTGGCCGGGCCCTTCATAGCCCTCTCCCCAGTGACTAGGCTGTCCCTGAGGAGCCCTCAGCCTGGGGTCATGCCCAACCCCAACGCCAGCCCTGTCACTGAGCCACCGCTGTTTGAGTGGCAGTGGAACCAGGCTGTGGGCTTTTCCCTTCCTGCCTGGGGGTTCAGATTCCAGCATCCTCACGACTTGGGCACCTGGTCACCTGGCCATTGGAACCCCTCAGGGCCTCTCTATCTGACAGTCGCTGCACAGCCACCAGGGTGGTGGGGAAACAGCTTTGCTTGTTGAGATGGCCTGGGAGTCCAGTGTTTCATGGCCCATGTCACACTGCTCACCTGTTCACAGCTCCTCTGTTCCCTGTGGTCTCCTTCATTCAGGGGAAGAGAGCCAGAAGCAGAGGGTGCTATGGGCACCCCAGCTCTGCAGGGGAGCCCCAGGCTCCCAGTCCCAGCGCTCACCTGGCGCCTGCACCCCCATCCCGCAGATCTGTGTCTGAGCAGATTAGAGAGGGGCAAGGGACTGGCCCAGGCACACCCAGAGACAGCAGGATTTTACAAAACCCCACATACGTGCGTTCTAGAGGCCAAGCCCTGGGGGGCAACCAGTGTGGGGGCACCAGCTCTGGGCTCCCCAGGACCTCCGTGTGCTGGCTCTGCCACCTCTGTCCCAGGGGCTCTGCTTCCACAGGCCGGAGGCTGGGGCACCCTTATGGAGGTTCCTTGTCAGCTCTGCAGCTCCAGGCAGCCCCGGGGGGCTCCAGGGGTGTCCAGCCGCACTGGGCACTCCTGCTGGCCCGTCCCTGCAGCCCACCACACTTGGGCTGGTGGCCTCACTCCTGCCCTCCAGGTGCCGTCCTTCTTGGGTCTCCTAGCTGGGGTTCCAGGACACCTGGTTGGGAGTGAGCAAGGGGCAGGCCCCTGAAGGCAGAGAGGCCTTGGGGTGGCGGCCAGGTGTCCCTCAGTGCAGCCTGTCCTCCTACAGGGCTCTTTGCTCCTGAGAGGAGCTTGGTTCCTGCCCGAGCCCTGTTTCCTCGTTGCTGTGGGAGGCTCTGACTCACTCTCTCTCCTGCCTCCTCTCTGAGGAGCAGAAAGAACCACTGAATAATTCACGGGGTGGAAACCGGCCTGTCTCCATCCCCCGCCACCAGTGCTCCTTGCGGGGGGATGTGGGGTGAGCCAGTCCTGGGCCTGTGGCCCACCTCTACCCTCTTTGCTGGTGCTTTTGAGCAAGCGTGTGACCTCTCTGAGGCATCATACCTCCTCCCAGACCCTGGGCTGGTGCACCTTGTCTCCAAGGTCACAGCGGAGATGCAAGGGCCCGGGCTCCTGCTCCCTGCTGGGCAGGCAGCAGAGGGAGCTCCCTCCCCGGGGGGTGGGCTCATGGGGCACCATGGGCCATGGCTAGGGCCCCTTCCGGTCTTCCCTGGTGAATCAGTCCTTGCTGTGGGGGGCTACTGCCCTGTCCCACTGGCGGGTGGTGGACTCTTCATCTCCTGCTATGTGGGCTGGGTGCTTCCAGCTCCTGAGCCATCCAGGGGAAGGGGGGCCCTGGTGCAGACTTGGGGTAGATGGGAGACCAGTCTCCAGCCTTCTTGTCTGTTTCCTGCCCCCCATCCACTGTTGGGAGCCCTGGTGAAACCCACTGGAAAGCCCCATGGGCCACCCTGTTTCAGGGCTGTGTGTGGACATTTATCACTAGCCCTTTGTCACACGAACCTGAAGATGAGGAGGACCGTGTTCATTATAGAGATGAGCAAGCTGAGGCTCAGAGGGAGAGGGGACTGGCCCAGAATCACAGAGTGAGTGGGGGTCAGGCCAGAACCCTGCTGTCGATCTCTGGCTCCTGATTCAGGAGCCAGACTCAGCTGGGCAGCAGGTGGCTGGGGGCCTCCTGGGTGAGGGCTGTCCTGAGGCCTCCCAGAGCCCTGCGGGCCCCTCTGCAGGGGTGCAGGTATATTTCACATCCTGAAGGTTGTGATTTCTCTTGGCTGAGGGTCTCAGGCTCCCAGATTCCCACCCAGGCCTCCATCCTGGAGAGGAGGGACTCCCTGGCCTTGGGTGCATCTCTTGGGGGCCTATGGAGTCTGTTGGACGGACAGATGGTGGGGGTGTGCGGTGCTGGTTCTGTGAGGCTGATGGGATCTGTGATGGGAGAAGGAGGCCAAGGAGTTTGGGGGGCTGCCTGTGCCGTATCCCCACCTGACGCCCAGGAGGGGCGGCTGGCCTGGCCCCCCTGGGGCTGAGCTGCCCCACCATGCCTGGAGCTCCCACACACAGGGAAGCAGAGAGGTGCTGCCTGCCTTTCCATGGGGGCCATGAGCCAGGCCGTGAACACCCAGCAGGCCAGTTCCTTCCTGGAGCCTGGCCTGGAGCGGGCACACCGGCCCACGCACCAGGACAGATGGCAGCAATCGCCTTGGGTTTTCCCCGTGGAGGGGCCTGTTTCTTATTAGAGATGTGAGTGCTCGCATGTTGCTGGCATGACCCCAAAGGTGAGAGGCTGAAGTAGCCATGCGGAAACCTTGGGGAAGAGGGTCCCAGGCAGCGGGAACAAGCACATGCCAAGGCCCTGAGGCAGGGAGGAGCCTGACCTCAGCCCAGGATTAGAGTTGCTCTGGTCTGAACATGCTGCCTTGGGAGGTGGTGAGTGCTTTGTGCCCGGAGGTGTGCGAGCCCAGGCTGCTGGCCACTTACAGGGGATGTGAGACCACAGCACCTTAGTTTGATGCTATGGGGGCCAGGTCAGCCTGTGCCCATCAGCGGGTGGCAGAGCAGCCCCGTCTGGTGGGTAAGGGTGGCCCCGTCGCCACTCTCACCTCTGATGGGAAGGACATCCGCGCTGGTACGGGTGCTCTTCTAGTTCACGAAAGGCGTGCACACGCAGGGGCCGTTTGGCAAACAGGAAAGAGCGTGGGGACAGGAACAGAGCCTCTCCGGCCAGAGTCCATCCGAGCGCCTGTGCTGGGCAGGGAGGGGCACTCAGCCCTAGAACCCCGCTGTGCGCCCTTCTGGTTGCCTGCATTTTATCGCCTGGTGTTCAGGCCTGCATCCCTGGTCCCGGTGCTTGACACCTGGCTTCAGGCGTCACCCTGTGTAGCGGTCCAGCTTCTGAGGCTGCAAGTAACAAAACGTGCCACACGGCAGAGCATACGGGGAGCTGGGTGGCAGCCTCCGCAGCAGCCCCTGCACGGACGGAGCTCGGGGCTGGGCTTCGGGGTGCAGGGCTCACCCGTGGGTGGGCAGGGAAGCCCCTGCAGGGCTGCATTGACTTTGGCTGTTTCCCTCTTGGCCAGTGTCAAAGTCCAGGGGCAGAATCCAATCGGCAGCGCTGAGGTCACATGCCTGCCTTTGGCCGGCGGGTAGCTGGCCTGCTGGTGGCCTCTGCCGCAAGTGCACACCTGAGGAGGGGCAGGCGTTGGTGCCCGACTCTGGGTCCTTGTCTGGCATTGTGGGCTGTGCATCACCAGGCTCTGTTGCTAGACTGTCGGCTCCTGGTTTTCAAGGGTCTAAAGATACAGTGACAAGTTCTAGGGGACATGCAGGAAGGGACATTGCTCCTTTGTCCCTGGCTAGGGGGTCTCGGTCAGGGTCTGGGTAGGCAGTTCTGACCCCCAGGCCATATCCACTCTGCCCAAGAGGCTTGTGTTATTTTTTTCATAAATGGTTTTCTGGGCAGCCACACACTGGCCCTGGGGGTAGGTGCCATCAGCCCCATGCCAGCCAGTGAGCGCCTGTGAGTGAAAGACGTGGCCAGGCTCCACCCCCGGCCAACCCCCTGCCCCCAGTGGTTTCTGGGCCCCCAGCCAGCAGCAGGACCTGACCTCCTCCCGCCACAGACACTCTGCTGAGTCCTCAGTTGGAGAAGAGGAACCGAATCTGCAGGCACAGACAGGTCATTGATATGGGAAGTGCCCCATGTGGCCCCTGAGGGATTGGGGCACGTGACGGAGGCAGAAGCAGGACCCTGGTAGCACCCAGTTGCACTGCCTCCTGAGGTCTGTGGGAGTCTTGCCCTTGGCTCTGCGCTGGGCCAGGACATGCAGCCCTCAGATACCTCTGGGGCTCCCCATAGCCTCAGGGTGGGCAGCACCCTCAGTGGGGTGAGGCTCCAAAGGGCACATACTAGGCACTGCCACCCAGAGCAGGGCGGACCACTTCCCAGAGGACGTCCCCAAGCTAAGATCCTAAGGAGGGGCATGGGCCTGCCCTGGGGACTCTCCGGGAGACAGGATGACAGGCCAATAAGATTGGGCCTGCTACCTGCCCAGCAGGCCTCCTGACGGGTCTGCAGCACGGCCGATGTCTGCTGAGGCAGTGGGGGTCCACGC